CTCAGCTCAGCTCTGAGCTGCCCTCAGACCCAGCTGTCCTCCCTCGGCCTTCCCTGGGCTTTGGTCAAGGAATTTACACGCTTTCTGACGGTCATGTCTTTGGTGCTCCTTTACCGTGAACACTGGCATTTCCAGCTTTGCCCAACCCCTTCCCTGGGGAGGTAATCCTAGGCCCTCCAGTGCCGAGGTAGCCCCAGTCTCCTCCTGAAGTGGCCCGTCTGGCTGCCTGTGCCTCGGGGAGGCGTACAGAGCTCCTTCCAGCCACGCTGCGGGCTTGCCGTCGTTCCCAAGTGTCCATGTTTTCTCCACATGGTTTTTCTGGAGAGATGGGGTTGTGCCTGCCTGAGGTGGAGTTGAGTTGGATACGGAGGGTTGCACAGCTCCGGTGCTCGCCAGCCTCTGAGGTGTGGCCCGCGGGGAGGCAGTGTCTTCTGCTCCTCTCCTGGTAGTGCTCTGACTCTGGTGGGGGTTGCTGCTGAGCCAGGAGCTTGCAGGGGAGTAGAGTCCCCGCGGCGCCTCCTGGTGCCTGCTCTGAGCCTCACAGCAGACGGCGTGGGCTTCCCCGTTCCGGCAGCTTTGTCCTGTATTTTACTCCCCTCTGTTCTTCAAGGCAGAGCTAATGCATGTGGCCTGTCGTACTTCCTTCTCCACTAACTTATGAGTCCTGTGAAGTCAGGCACAGAATTATTTTTCTTTATTTTACCTAAAAGCAAGATCCATCCCCACCCCAGGCTTAGCAGGCTTGAAGACGAGTGTTGTGACTCCAGAGGAAGGAGGATGCGTGCATTCAAGGTCACGGTGCTTTTCAGCTTTAGCAGCTTTTTAAAAAGATTTATTTTATTTATTTGAAAGATAGAGTTACAGAGAGAGCTCTTCCTCTGCTGGTTGACTCCCCAGATGACCGCAACGGCCAGAGCTGAGCTGATCCGGAGCCAGGAGCTTCTTCCGGGTCTCCCACGTGGGAGCAGAGGCCCCAGATTCTGGACTATGTTCTGTTGGTTTCCCAGGCCATAGCAGAGAGCTGGATCAGAAGTGGAGCAGCCGGGACGCATAGGGGATGGCGGCACTGCAGGCTGGGGTTTTAACCAGTACCACACTGCTGTCCCCCAGCTCATCTTTATTTTATTTTGTTGTCATTTTTTTAAAAAGAGTCTTTATTTGGATATGATTTCAGACTTACAGAAATTATGAAGCACAAATGGTACACAAAACTCCCAAGTACTCCTTTCCCCAGGCTGGCCTGGTGTTCAGATTTAACCGTGTTTGCTTAATCATTTCTGTGTGCTAGAAGTTTCTCTGTATGCTGTGTAAACACACAGGTATACCCAGACACTGACTCACAGACACACACTTGCTTATGAACCTTTGAGGTGAGGGCAGGCGACGTGTGCCCGGCCCTCCCCCCGACCACTGAGCGTGCGTTTCCGCAGTGTCCGGGTACTTCCTTACAAGCGCTGGCGCCGTTGTCACTTTCCTGCTCATACCAGTGCCGTGCTACCCTGCCGCCCACCACCGGCCTTGCCAGCTGACCTCCAGGGTGCTCTGGCCCAGGACACAGTCCAGGGTCAGGCCTTGCTGGGACTTTGCGCCAGGCTGTCTTTCCCTCGGTGACAGCCCTCTTTTTGCAAACACCCAGATTTCTGTTTGAAAACTGGAGAGAGGCTTTTAGAGGAGGAGGCCAGCAGTGGGCTGTTCTGGCTGCCCCTGGCCAGCTTGTCAGTGTTACCACACCGGCCTGTCTGCAGCCACCGGGCAGAACCATTCCCGGGGAGTCCTTGTCGCTGAAATGGCAGGGCAGCGAGTTTCTGTCCACTCACTGGAATTTGCTGCGGGGTAAATATTCGGCCTTTGCTTTGCTTTTGCAGGTTATCAGCGTATTTAAAAATACCCCCCCACCCCCCCTACCAAATTTATGTAAGCTGTGCTTTAACTTATAAGTGCCACTTCTGTTTGCTGCGTTGGAACAGCGCTGATAATAAATGCCTCTTGACAGTACTGCTTCCTGGCTCCGTCTTGGAATGATGCATGTGGCTTTGCCAGTACTGAAGTGGCAGCTTGCAGCCTTGTTGGGGATGTTATTGTATCATTCCATGGGAGTGTTTGATGGTTACTCTAGGTACTGGATACTTTGACTAGAAAGAAACAGTTACCATTTGTAAAACATTGACTGCAGTTGGAGGGAATGTGTTTTAGAGATCTCAGTGGCTTGGCCTTTGCCGAATCCTTCCTGTGCAGTTCAGAGCCCTGGGAGGAGTCTGTGTGGGGCTTCGCTGCCCCAGGAGTAGAAACCCCAGCTCCTGGCCTCAGAGAAGGCCGTAGCCAGGGCTCAGATGAGATCAGTGTGTCACTGCTGTCGCCTCCCCCTGTTTTTTTGCATTTAATTGATTTATTTGAAAGGAAGAGTTACAGGGCCCGTGTTGTGGTGCAGCAGGTTAAGCCTTGCCTGTGACACCAACATCCCACAGCTAGTGTGCCGATTTGTGTTTTGGCTGCTCCAGTTCCAATCCAGCTCCCTGCTGATGGCCTGGGAAAGCAGCAGAAGACGGCCCAGTGCTTGGACAGTCTGGATGAGATTCCCAGCTCCTGGTTCAGCCTGGCCCAGTCCCTGCTGGCGGTGGTCTGGGGAGTGCTCCAGGGAGTGGAAGGTCACACTGGCTCTCCCTCTGTGATGCTGCCTTTCAAATAAGTAACTAAATCCTTGGAAAAGAATTACATATGTGTATGTGTGTGTGGAGAGAGAGAGCGCGTGAGGGGGCGCTTTCATTCTCGGGTTCACTCCCCAGAAGACCACAGAGACCAGGACTGGGCCACACCAAATCCAGGAGCCTGGATCTCCTTCTGAGTCTGCGCGTGGTCTGGCCTTCCCAGGCTACATGAGCAGTGAGCTGACTCGGAAGCGGAGCAGCTGGGCTGTGAGCCGACGCTCACGTTAGATGCCGACGTCGCAGGCAGCTGGTGACCTGCTCTGCTGCAGGCCCCTCCTGGATTCATTTTCTAGAAATTTTAAATGGCCCCCCAAGAAAAAGGTTTGTGGGTGTCGGAGAATGTTGTTTTTCTTTTACGCTTGAGTGGTTATCTAGCCCTAGCACAGAATTCTGTAAAGCAAAGTGCTCTAGAATTGTAGGAACAAACCATTTTCTCTTGGAACCTTGAGAGATTGCCCCTTGCTCTCTGCTGATTGTCCCGTCGAGCCCTCCTGAAGAGTTCTCCAGCTTAGTCTCCTGCCCTCGTTCCTGGATAGCTCCTCACGGCTGTCTGGTGGCTGGGCTGTGCCGGGCTGAGATCAGTGAACTTTCCCCCTGCTGGAGATGACAGGAAGGTCGGTCTGAGCCTACAGTGAGAGCGTGTGAGAAGTCCTTGTAAACTGCTGGAGACTGCTTGTTTTCACTGTTACTGTGAAGGCAGAATTTCTTGTGTAAAAGATTTGTTTGCAGGGCCCCCAGCTCTGTGGTGTAGTAGGTTAAGCCTCCACTTGTGGTGCCGGCATCCCATGTGGGCGCCAGTTTGTGTGCTACCTGCTGCACTTCTGATTCAGCTCCTTGCTAATGCGCGTCGGAGGGCAGTGGAGGATGCCCACGTGCTTGGGCCCTGCCTCCAGGTGGGAGACCCCAAAGAAGCTCCTGGCTCCTGGCTTTGGGTTGGCCCAGCACCAGCTGTTGCTGTTGTGGCCCTCTGGGGAATAAACCAGATGGATGGAAGACCTCTGTCTCTCCCTGTCTCTGGCTGTAACTCTGCCTTTCAGATTAATAAATAAACTCTAAAAAATTCATTTGCTCATTTGAAAGGCAGAGTGACAGAGAGAGTGAGCGAGAGAGCCTGAATGAACTTCCATGTGCTGGTTTGCTCCTCAGACGGCTGCAGCAGTGAGGTCTGAGCCAGGCGGTAACCAGAAGCGGGGGACGCCATCCTGGTCTCCCACGTGGGTAGCTGGGCCGCAGGCACCTGAGCCACCGTCTGCAGCCTTCCAGGCACATTAGCAGGAAGCAGAGCAGCTGGGACTTGAGCTGGCACTCCAGCAGGGGATGCTGGTGTCACAGATGGCAGATGAGCCCATTGTGCCACGGCGCCGGCCCCCAGCACACGGTATCTCTGTGGACCTGAGCAGGTGTGTGTAGACACCATGTGAAGATGGTTTTGGTTTTGCTGTTTGCTCACGGTTTGGGTGAATGTTGCCTTGAGCCTTGTAGAAATGGTTCCCCTGGATGGGATGCCTGCTGCGGGTTCGCGTTTTCAGTAAAAACGAGTGTACCCCTGCATGGTCACTCGCGGTTTCTGAGTCGCGTGCTCGTCGCTTCCTTCGCCAGGCGGCAGGCTCTGAGCTGTGCAGGAGCGGAGGCGCTTCGGCTGTACTCTCAGCTCCCAGTCCCACGCTGCCTGTGCCATTCAGCAGATTCTGAATAATGAGTGAATGAGCCAGCGCCTCGACGGCGGGAATCTGGTCGTACGGTTCTCTTGAAGCTCTGGGGGGATAGGAGCTGTGCGGTGCTTGCCAAGCTCACGTCCGTGTGGTGTACCGGAGAGTCAGAGTTCTGTGAAATCTGAGGGTTCACGAGGCTGTGTCTGTGCAGTCACGTGGACCTGCATCTTGTTCAAGCACATTTTTAAAATTAGAAATTACAGACTCATAAAGGCTGCTAGTCAGGTCTGGCTGTCCCTTTTGGGATTTCCCTGTCTCCCTGTTGTGACCTGTGCCCTCTGCAGGAAGAGTCGGGCGAGGCGGCGTGTGCGTGTGCGTGTGCGTGTGCGTGCAGAAGCCGCTGCCTCAGAACGTGCTTGCTCAGGCCGGCAGCGTGTAGAAGAGCTTCAGTGGTGTTTTCCCTCTTACGTGGGAAGACACTGTCTCTGGACGCGGATTTGCCCTCCGTTTGTTGAGTTGAGAGGGTGTGGGGTATTCTGCACCCAATGCTTCACAGGTAGTGTCAGGAGACGTAGCGTGTTTTCCTGAGTGTGTGTAACTCGTGTATTTTATCTGACCAGCAATGCCCTTTTTTGTTTTTCAGTATATTTTTGGAGACTTTAGTCCTGATGAATTCAATCAGTTCTTTGTGACTCCTCGCTCTTCCGTTGAGGTAAGATAAAGCTGTTGCAGTGAGTGAAGTGTGCAGGTGTGAAGTGGTGGTTACGTGTTTACTTTTAAACGCACGATTCCCCTGTACTGAAAAATAGACGCTAACAGGAGCTTCCTAGGCCCATCGGCTACACGTGACTGATGGTGGCATTTCACTGTTTGCCCTGACGTCTTCGAGAAAGAGATCGCTGCCACGGGCGTCTCCTTCCCGGAGACTCGGACTCTGCCGGCCTTGCAGTGTGGCCCCTGACTGCTCTCCTCTCTGCTACCTGTGTGTACACCGCACAGTAAACCCTGTCCTGTGATCGCTCTGCTGATTTTATCCTTTGGTTGTTTAATTTTTTTTAAAGATTTATTTTTTACTTTAGAGTCAGAGTTACACAGAGAGAGGAGGGACCCAGAGAGAGGTCCTTCATCCGCTGGTTCACTCCCCAAATAGCCGCAACGGCCAGAACTGCTCTGATCCGAAGCCAGGAGCCAGGAGCTTCTTCCAGGTCTCCCATGTGGGTGCAGGGGCCCAAGGACTTGGGCCATCTTCTACTGCTTTCCCAGACCATAGCAGAGAGCTGGATTGGAAGTGGAGCAGTCAGGACTAGAACTGGCACCCGTATGGGATGCCGGCGCTTCAGGCCAGGGCATTAACCCGCTGCGCCACAGTGCTGGCTCCTGTTGTTTAATTTAAGCTAACATTCTTCACATTTGTTTATGCCACTACATTTGTCCTGTGATTTAATTGCTCTGTGCCATTGATTGAATGCGCATTCACTTGCCTTTGGGGCACTGTAGGTGCGGAGTGCGTGTCTCCGTGTGTGGTGCTGGGGTGCGTGTCTCCCGTGTGCGGTGCTGGGGTGTGTGTCTCCCGTGTGTGGTGCTGGGGTGTGTGTCTCCCTGTGTGGTGCTGGGGTGTGTGTCTCCCGTGTGTGGTGCTGGGGTGTGTGTCTCCCGTGTGCGGTGCTGGGGTGTGTGTCTCCCGTGTGTGGTGCTGGGGTGCGTGTCTCCCGTGTGCGGTGCTGGGGTGCGTGTCTCCCTGTGCAGTGCTGGGGTGCATGTCTCCCGTGTGCAGTGCTGGAGTGAGTGTCTCCCTGTGGGCGCTCTTGTGTGGCTTCCGCAGGATCTGTGTGCGGGCTCTGTGGAAGGTGAGCACCGTAGCTCTCCTGAGGCTCTGGGTAGTCTAGTCTGCCCTACAGCAGCACCGCAGGAGAGGTTTCTAGCTTGGATGTTTAAAAATCCCTGCTGACGTTGCACGTTGGCATCTGTACACCTGCCCACAGTGTGCTGTGTGAGTGGGTCCTCAGTGTTCTGCCTGCCATGTCCCAAGTTCACCCAGGTGAGCGTGTCTCGATGGCCTCACCCCTCTCCACAGCCGTATCTTAAAATCATGTGGCTTGTCTTTGTTTTTCTTTTCTTTTTTAAAGATTTATTCATTTATTTGAAAGGCAAAGTTATAGAGAGGCAGAGAGAGAGAGAGAGAGGTCTTACTGCCACTGGTCCACTCCCCAGGTGGCCACTGAGCTGAAGCCAGGAGCGGGGGACTTCCTCCAGGTCTCCCACGTGGGTGCTGGGGCCCAGCAGGGGTCTGGATCGCAAGTAGAGCGGCTGGACTCAAACCAGTGCTCATGGGGTGTGGGCACTGCACACGGCAGCTTCACCTGCTACACCGCAGCGCTGGCCCCGTCTTTTCTTTTTGATGGGTTTGTGGGATTCGTGATCGTTAGTTAGTTTTGCATGTTGCAGTCATGTCTTCCTAGCACAAAGGCCTTTATGCTTCACATTTGATGTGCCTTGTGTGTGACAGGAGTTAGTTTTTAACTTCAATATCAAGTATATTGTTTTTTTCCCCCTCATGGCTCGTGAACATTAGTTTTAAAAAATATCTTTAAGAAATTCTTCCCTTCCCTGTGGTGGTAAAGCGTTTGTTCTGCCTTTCCTGTTGGGGACGCATCCGAGTCCGCGGAAGGGGGACCAGCGTGGATGCCCTCATCCCAGGACCAGCACGAGGACCAGAGCCGCGGCTCTGTATCAGTTACAGTTCAGGAGCCTGCATGGTGGCTAGCTAATCCCCGGCCACTGGGTGTTTCCCGGCCACAGCAAGTGCTCGGTGTGAGGGGACAGTGAGCGTGAGGAGTGCTGGGCTCCCGCGGTCACCACCGAGCCCCGCTTTGGCCTCCTGATGGCAGGTAAGATCATGGCCGCCGTCTGCGCACACCCGCTGTGGTGTGGCTGCAGCGTGGACCAGTCTCGCTGTGCTCTTGGTGCTTGACGGGCTGTTAGAACCCCGACAGAGCGTTGCTCCCTGAGCTGGGGCAGTGTGTGGTGCTGGAGTCCTCGCATCCTCTCTGCCAGGCTCCCTCCTCTCAGCTGTGTAGTTGGAATGCCACAGGCAAGAGGAGGTGGCCAGGAGCTTGATCAGAATCAGGTTACTTTGTGTGTGACCGTACATACTAATGTTGTTTTTTTTTTTTTTAAAGTAGCTGATGTATTTTCTAGAACTGTGCTATAGTGAATAAACAAGTGTGGGCTCCAAATAAATTTCTACAGTGGAAGAAAGATAGTAAGCTTGTTCAGTGAGCGTGTGTGAAGCCATCGCAGACGTGTTGTGTTCAGAAATAGGGAGCAAGCGCTCCCTCCGGAACAGCACAGGGTCTCACAGCTCTGCCTCAGCACAGTCTGTGGGCGTGCCTGGGGGACTGGTTTTCAGTTAAGGCAGTTATTCTCAATTTGGGGTCTTAATGTGATTTCAGAAGAGGGTCTTTTGGATCGAGATGAGGAGACATGGTGGCAGCACCATGAGGGAACTTTATTTTTTAAACATATTTTTTTTTTTTTTATTTTATTTTATTTTATTTTTTTTTTGACAGGCAGAGTGGACAGTGAGAGAGAGAGAGACAGAGAGAAAGGTCTTCCTTTGCCGTTGGTTCACCCTCCAATGGCCGCCGCGGCCAGCGCGCTGCGGCCGGCGCACCGCGCTGATCCGATGGCAGGAGCCAGGAGCCAGGTGCTTTTCCTGGTCTCCCATGGGGTGCAGGGCCCAAGCACCTGGGCCATCCTCCACTGCACTCCCTGGCCACAGCAGAGGGCTGGCCTGGAAGAGGGGCAACCGGGACAGAATCCGGCGCCCCGACCGGGACTAGAACCCGGTGTGCCGGCGCCGCTAGGCGGAGGATTAGCCTATTGAGCCGTGGCGCCGGCCGGGAACTTTATTTTTATTTGAAAAGCAGAGAGACAGAGAGGGATCAGTATTCCTTTTTTTTTTTTTTTAAAAAGATTTATTTTATTTGAATGAGTTACACAGAGAGAGAGGTGTCTTTCATCGGCTGGTTCATTCCCCAAATGACCACAATGGCCAGAGCTGAGCTAACCCGAAGCCAGGAGCCAGGAGCCAGGAGCTTCTTCCTGGTCCCCTGCACAGGTACAGGGGTCCAAGGACTTTGGCCATCTTCCACTGCTTTCCCAGGCCATAGCAGAGAGCTGCATTGGAAGTAGAGTAGCTGGGACTCGAACTGGCACCCATATGGGATGCAGGCACTGCAGGCTGGGGCTTTAACCCGCTGCGCCACAGTGCCAGCCCCAGGATCGATATTCCCTTGGCTGGTTTTATTCTCCAAATGTCTGCTACAGCCAGGACTGCACCAGGCTGAAGCCAGGAGGCAGGGACTCCCCTGTGGGTGGCAGGGCCATCTTCTGCTGCTTCTCACATGCGTATTAGCAAGAAGCTGAATTGAAGTGCCGGCTGTGGCTCATACCACATCCTATGTGGGATTTGGGTGTCCCAGGGGGTGACCTCCCTGCTGTGCCAAGCGCCTGCCCCCATAAGGGGCTTTGTAGCATGGCCACTTGGTCCAGGGGCAAGGATGTGGCCTGCACCAGACCAGACTGGGCGCTGTTTGTGTCTCACTTAACTAGCTTACAGTGTTTGATGTTGGCTTAGTTTGTGTTTGGGGGTGAATTTTATGCTTTTGTTTTCATTTCTAAAATTTTGTTGTCTGGTCTGTCCTATCCACGTGTTTGTCCTCCTGCCTCTGTTTGTTCTTCATACAAGTTCATGTTCTGTTCATACGTGTTTTGCTCTCGATGTTTGGTAGTTCCGGGGACTGTTGAGCTGGGTGACAGGGTGGTTATCACAGCCCCACCAGCGGCAGTGTTCTGCTCCCTCTGCAAATAGATGACGTCATGCTGATGTGTGTGGTTGTGAAGCTGTTTGGACCTAGAAACTGATTCTTCTTGTCGTCCCCCCCCCCCCTTTTTTTTTTAAATTTGAACATAGAGAGAGAGCGCTCCCATCTGCTGTTCATTCCCTAAAAGCTTGAAACCGGACTGTGGCGCTGAACTGGGACTCCGATAGGGATGGGGGTGTTCCAACCTAGGGTACTGACCACCGTCGAAGTGTCCACCCCCAGAGAGTAATCATGTCCCCGGGGGTGGACATGGGGTGCAGCCCCCGTGTCCATGCCTGCCTGAGTCCTGGCTGCTCCTCTTGTGATCCAGCTTCCTGCTAAGGCGCGGGGAAGGCAGTGGGTAGTGACTTGGGTATTTGAGTCCCTGCCACTTCACATGGCAGACCAGGCTCCTGGTTTCAGCCCGGCCCAGCCCCAGCTGCTCTGGGCATTTGGGAAATGAACCAGTGGGTAGAAGGTAGCATGCCTGCCTGCCTCCCCCCTCCCCCCCATTCTTCACTACCCCCCACCACCACCACCACTCTGGCTTTCAGTAAATAAATAAATCTTGGCCGGTGCTGCAGCTCACTAGGCTAATCCTCCGCCTTGCAGCACCGTTACACCGGGTTCTAGTCCCGGTCGAGGCGCCGGATTCTGTCCCAGTTGCTCCTCTTCCAGGCCAGCTCTCTGCTGTGGCCAGGGAGTGCAGTGGAGGATGGCCCAAGTGCTTGGGCCCTGCACCCCATGGGAGACCAGGAGAAGCACCTGGCTCCTGCCATCGGATCAGCACGGTGCACCGGCCGCAGCACGCTGGCCGCAGCGGCCATTGGAGGGTGGACCAATGGCAAAAGGAAGACCTTTCTCTCTGTCTCTCTCTCTCACTGTCCACTCTACCTGTCCAAAACAAAACAAAACTTAAAAAAAAATTTCTTGATGGTGCAATGATTCTACTTTTTTGCTCCCCAAATAATAGTTTCTGCCACTGGGAGGGGACATGCTAGTGTCATTTGCAAAACGAATAAAGTTATTCTTTTTATTCCAAATTTTAAAAAAAGATTTATTTATTTATTTGAGAGGTAGAGTTACAGACAGAGAGAGGGAGAGACAGAGAGAAATATCTTCCATCTGCTGGTTCACTCCCCAGATGGCTGCAACAGCTGGAGCTGAGCCAATCTGGAGCCAGAACCAGCAGCTTCCTCCGGGTCTCCCACGCGGGTGCAGGGCCCAAGCACTTGGGCATCTCCCACTGCTTCCCAGGCCACAGCAGAGAGCGGGATCAGAGAGGAGCAGCCGGGACACGGACCATTGCCCATGTGGGGTGCCGGCTCCAAAGGTAGAAGTTTAGCCCAGCCCCTATTCCAAATATGTTAACTTTTTAAATGTATTTTTATTTGAGAGGTAGAGAGACAGACAGGGAGAGCACTTCTGTCCACTGATTCACTCCCCCAAATGCCCAGAACAGCTGAGACTGTGCCTCTGAAGGCAGGCTCCTGGAACTCAGTCTGAATTCCATGAGTGGCGGGGACCTGCTGCTTCCCCGGGTGTGCGTTTACAGGCGACTGGAAGGGGCACAGCCCAGACGAGGACCCAGGCACTCTGATGCAGGACGTGGGTTTCTAGTGGCATCCTTTTTTTTTTTTTAAGATTCATTTATTTATTTGAAAGATTTAGAGAGAGAGAGAGAGAGCGGTCTTCCATCCATGGTTCACTCCCCAATTGGCTGCAACAGCTGGAGCTGCACCAATCCGAAGCCAGGAGCCAGGAGCTTCTTCCAGGTCTCCATGCGGGTGTAGGGCATGGTGTAGGACTTGGCCCATCTTCTGTTCTCTCCCAGGCCACAGCAGAGAGCTGGATCAGAAGTGGAGCAGCCAGGTCTCGAACCGGCACCCATATGGGATGCCGGCGCTTCAGGCCAGGGCATTAACCTGCTGTGACACAGTGTTGGCCCCTTTAGTGGATCTTAACCTCTGCACCACCCCCTACTCACAGTGTCTACAGCCGTCTGGCCCTGGGGGTACACTGCCCCCCGCAGACGCGCCCTCCTGCTCCCGTGTCTACCGTGCACCTGATGGCTGGCTACAGAGGAGGCGTGAGTGGCCGCCGTCAGTGTAGTGCTTCTACCCTGAGTCCCAGGGTGACTGGAATGTGTGCAGCCCTCCAATCCTGACAGTGGTGGGCACCTGTGTTTCCTGTTTGTTACTTGTCTTTGTGGTCGTGGACTTGGCTGCACAGAGGCCATTGTAGAGATCCGCAGAGGAGGCCACTTCCCTGGCCGCGGTCTGCAGAACCTCCCAGGAGTGCTTGACCACCAAGCTGCCTCTGTGCCTGTGGGCCGCACGGAGCATCCGAAACCAGTCCATCTAATTGTTTTTAGAGTAATAAATCATTTATATTTTATTTATTGATACACGTAGAGTGAGATCTGCCACCTGTTGGTTCACTCCTGAAATGCCTAGAACAGCCAGCACTGGGCCTGGCCAGAGCTGAGGGCTGGGATCTCAGTCTGGGTCTTCCGTGTGGGTGGCAGGGACCCAGGTACTTGAACCATCACCTCCCTGGGTGTGCATTAGCGGAAAGCCAGAATCTAGCCAGGCCAAGCCTTAACCCCGTACTCCAGAATGGGATGTGGGTGTCCCACACAACATCTTCACTTGTGGATAGACACCTGCCCTGGTGTTCCGGCTCCTGAGTACACACCACGGAGCAGCTAGGAAGAAGAAAAATCAGCGATGCTGTTGATGCATGCCGTCTCTTCAAGCCAGGAACATGGCGTCCAGCTGTCAGTGTGTGGCTGGGTTGAAGGGCGTCGTGATTCCTCACGGGCCTCTCTGCTCTCTGGTCACGCACCTGGCCCTGCCCTGCCAGCTGTGCTGGAGCAGGTGTGGACCCACAGGAAGTGTCCGTCTGTCCCCTGAGGAGCTGGTTGACATGTCTGTTGGAGTGCATTTGTATTTCTTTCTCCCTTCCTTCCTTCCTTCCTTCCTTCCTTCCTTCCTTCCTTCCTTCCTTCCTTCATTCATTCATTCCTGGCAGAGTGGACAGTGAGAGAGACAGAGAGAAAGGTCTTCCTTTGCCGTTGGTTCACCCTCCAATGGCCGCCGCGGCCGGTGCGCTGTGGCCGGCGCACCGCACTGATCAGAAGGCAGGAGCCAGGTGCTTCTCCTGGTCTCCCATGGGGTGCAGGGCCCAAGCACCTGGGCCATCCTCCACTGCACTCCCGGGCCACAGCAGAGAGCTGGCTTGGAAGAGGGGCAACCAGGACAGAATCCGGCGCCCCGACCGGGACTAGAACCCGGTGTGCCGGCGCCGCAAGGCGGAGGATTAGCCCAGTGAGCCGCGGCGCCGGCCTTGTATTTCTTAGGACTTCACTTTTTAATCTGTTAATCTGTTACTAGATCACTTTTTAATCTGTTACTAAATATCTGAGTGCTTTCTGGTAGTATTTCTTCCTTTCAGTTAAACGAAGGTGGTTTGTATTTTCCATTCATGTTATTCTGATAGAAGAAGTGTCTTAGGGTGAAGCGGCCAGGATAAAGAACTGTACAGAAATGTCACCGTGTCAAATAGCATGCATCGGATGTTAACATTAAAGTGCGTTCTCTGATTGCTCGTGCAGCTTCCTCCCTACGGTGGAGCAGTGCTGTGTGACGGCCGGGCTGCGGAGGAACCACCCGATGGTAAGCCGCTCCTCCCCGCTCCCCTCCCTGAGTCCGGCCATGCGAGCGGGACGGGCTGGCCCAGGCTTCGCTGCGCATTTCCTCGTGGCTCGAAGCTTGAGTTGCTGAGTCGCTGTGCCTGCTGACTGTGTTAAAGTCGGTGCCGGAGGCGCGCCGTGTCGTGGAGGGAAGGGTTCCGCTTTCCTGGAGCGGTTCTCAGTGCTGCCTCACGCCGGAGCTGTGCTCTGGGTATTTCTTGTCTCGCTCCTGGGGCCAACGCTGGCCTCCAGGCAGGGTCTGAGGCCAGCTGGGAGCTGTTGGCCCTGCAGCGTCCGTTCGTGCCAGCCTGTCCTGCTCAGTGTCGGGCGTTCAGGTGACCTCTGTCCTGGGCGGCTGCTCTGGTGGTCTGTGTCACGGGCGCTGAGCTGAGTAGGAGACAGTGCTTAATGGGGCCCAGGGCCCTGGGACGTATGCAGTCTGGATTACCTCCACGGCCCTTGCTGGCCTCTGAGTGTTTGCTTTGGGAGCCAGGGATTTGGGTCCCCTGTTGGGTTAGGGTGGTCAGACCTGCGGGGGGATTTGCATTATCGAGCCTTGCAAAGATGATCCGTGCTCCTTCTCTCAGTCACATTAGCAGCTTCGTGAGTAACTGATAGTATGTCATGAGAAATACACAGCGAGTAATAGCCCAGGCCACGCAGTGACACGGACCCCGGCCCGGTGCCTGCTCCCTGCTGCGCGCTCGGCGTCTGGGCGTCTGGGCTGGCCGTGTGCCCTCAGGGGAGCAGGCCTGCTGCGGTGTCGCGGTGCTTCCTCCTGCTGCTGAGTCGCAGCCTCGCTCCCCGGGTGTCGCCACCCTCTTCAGAGACTAGCTGAGCCCGCTCCTCTGTTCTGTGCTCTCTCCCCTCCAAGTCCGTCTGTGTTCGGCAGAAGCCAGCGGGCACCTTTGCCGCCTGTCTGCGTGTGGGCACCAGGCCCCTTGTCCCAGAAGCCCCTTTGTTCTCTAGTGCCTGTGCTGAGCTGCTGGCGTCTGGGCGTGCTTGTCTGTCCGTCTGTCTGTGGTGCAGCGGGGTCTGGGATGTCGGAGCCCTCAGTCCACTTGCTGGATGCATTTCCCGATGCCTCGAAGCCTGCAGGAGGCTGCTTCCCAGCATGCACTTGTCCTCCTTTCCTGAGACAGTTCCCAGTGCCCAGAATGCCCTGTGCCTCACCCACCCCACACTCCAGATCAGCTAACGCCAAGTTCTGCTGACCTTCTCTAGCTTCTGATTGGAACGTGCTCTGCTGTGTCCAGAGTGCTCGTTTGGTAAAGCGTCACGGCGCTCTTGTCTGCAGTAAACTCCCTGGCAGGGGCCCTGCCCTGCTAATCACCCTGCACCCCCCACCCCTCCCACCCCACCTACACCAGGCCACTGTGCTGCGTTGCCTGCAGTGAGCAGACTCTGAGAAAGGCTGCATTAGCGTGTCCTTGTTTTGTCTGAGCTGGTTCTCCTTCCCCCGGTAAACCAGCGCGTGCAGTTCATCTACCCCGTGTACTGACTGAATGTGAAGCTGTTCGCAGGCCTTCCCCTCCCCCTCCGATGGACGCGCCGTGGCTGCGCCTCCCCAGCCTGTCGAACGCTCTGTTGGGTAAATGTTTGGGCACAGTTGGGCGTATCGAAGCGGCTCGGTTCATATCACTTCAAGTTCTAGAATGTTTGTGATCTGGTGAGGTTGTGAATTGAGGTGCGGAGGGCCCTGTGTGGCAGACGGTCCTGCGTGAGCTCGCGAGGCTCCGTGCATCTTCTTCCCTGTGTCTGCACAGTGGGTGCCACAGTTCCCGAAGGGGCCACCTCCTGGGTGACTCCCTGCAGGCTGTCTGAGGCCGTGTAGCACTGCAGCTCGGAACATGCTGGAATAAGTGACACCTGAATGTGAAATGGACACCGACCCTGGGTGCAACAGTAAACTCATCTCTCTGGTGATTGTGTTCCAAGCAATCAAAAGTGAAATGCTCAGTGGCCAGAGGAACCAGACCGTTCTGTTGGTGGCTTTTGATGCAAACTTGCTCTTGGGGGACCATCACCAGGGATCTTTCCCAGGAACTTGTGTTGTCTGGAGAAGGATCCGCACCCCTCACGCTGCAGGAGCCGCCATGTCGGAACCAGCGAAGACTCCGCCCAGGGAGCTGAGCTGCCTCTGCCCCCACGACCGCCTCTGGATCTGTGCTCTGTTCTGAGTACTGAGTACTCCGATTCTTTTCTTGAAATGTGTCCTTGACGGCACCTTGGCCCCTCGCCTTAGATGGGAGGGAATCGTGAGCTGAGGGTCACGCGCTGCCCTTGGCTGCAGAGCGCTCACTTTTCCATCAGGTGTGAGAGCCCTGCGGTGCCCGACCCTGCCGATGCCGCTGATGGCAGCCCCGCCCTGGTTTCCCAGACGGGAGTCAGGGCGTGACTGGAGTGTGGAGTGTGTGGCTCGTGGGAGGAGGTCTTGGAGGGCTTCCAGGGTCACCAGAAACTCCCAGGCCTGCCTTTATCTCGTGGTGCTTTGGGAAGTATTTTCACTGCCCTGGAGCTGATCCAGGAGGGATTCATGAGTGGACGTGATGGCGCGTCCACGCCGGCGCTGTTTGTGGCCATCAGTTGAGGCCGTCTTGGAGGCCCCGTTGGGAGAGCCCCTGGCAGATCCTGCAGCGGGGGGCTCTTTGCGTGGCTCCTGGCTCCACACGAGGCCCGTGTGGCAGTAGTTAAGTCCCAGCACTCGTCTTCATGATTGTTTCTCTGTAACTTCTCCAGAACGCACATCCCTCGTCGTCGGCGTGGAGAGAGCTGTGGTGAGGTCACTTCATGTTGAGGGTGTTTTCAAACAGGCACAGCACTGTCTGCTTTTTATTTATTTTATTTATTTGAGAGGCAGAGAGAGAGAGAGGTTTTCCATGCACTGGTTCATTCCCAAAATGTCCATAGTGCCCAGAAATGGGCCACTCTGAAGCCAGGAGCTTCTTCCAGGTCCCCTACGTGGGTGCAGAGGCCCAAGGACTTGGGCCATTTCTGCTGCTTTTCCAGGCCACAGCAGAGAGCTGGATGGGAAGTGGAGCAGCCGGGACACAAACTGGTGCCCATATGGTGCCCTTAGGTGGCTTCACCCGATAACGCCACAGCCCTGTCCCTGCTGTTGGCTTTCTATTACGGATTCATTTTGACTTTACCTTCCGGAAGTCTTCTTGAGCTACGCAGAGAGCTAAGATATGTTCAGGCTTCTGTTTTTTCTGTTGCTCGCTTAAGTAAAACTTTGTAGTTATTATTTTCAGTAAAGAATAGCCTGTTAATTAGGAGAAGGATAATGGTTTTCGTTTTAGAAAAGGAGATGAGTGGTTAGGAGTGCTTCTGTGGGTTGTGCTTCACTAACGGGAAGTTTGTGAATCCTCTCGTTGGCAGGACAAGACTATCAGAGAATTGAGTTTGGAGTCAATGAGGTCATCGAGCCCAGCGCCGCTCTGCCGAGAGCCCCCGGCTGCGGTGTTTCCAGCACGCTGAACCCTCAGGCTCCCGAGTTCATTCTTGGGTGTCCGGCTTCCAGCAAGACCCTTGAGGGCACAGACAAGGAAGCCAGCCACAGCACTGTCGACTGCCAGCACCCAGGCCCTGCCCCAGCCTTGGGTCATGGTTCTCACGTGGAGGCAGACGCCTCAGAGAACGATGGCGGCCCGGGCGGTCTTGGACAGAGGGAGCGGAAAAAGAAGAAGAAGCGGCCCCCTGGCTATTACAGTTACTTGAGGGATGGCGGTGATGACAGTATTCCCACGGGAGCCCTGCTCAATGGCCACGCCAACTCCACGCCCCCGAACAGCGTGGGCACGGAGGACGCGGAGTTCCTGGACGACATGCTCCCGTGCGTCCCGTCCAGGACTTGTCACAGCCCGCGGGACTCCACGGACTCTGTCAGTGACACTGTGCTGGACGGCGAGCCCAGGACTGCAGGGCAGCCCGAGGGGGTCCAGGGGACTGAGGTGGAGCAGTCTTGTCTCCCGGTGGAGACTGGCCGAGAAGGCCTGTTAAGGACAGCGGTGGTTCAGCCCCACGTTGGTACCGATACTACTGAAAACCTTGGAGTTGCTAATGGACAAATACTTGAATCCTCGGGGGAGGTCCCAGCTGCCAACGGGGTGGAGGTGCACACTGTGGGGGACACAGACTCGGACACAGCCAAACCCGAGAGCGCCTCCCTCCCTGCCGACTGCGCCGTGTCTGCGGCAGGCGCCACTGCTGTCAGCCAGCCCGCCAAGTCCTGGGCCAGCCTCTTTCACGACTCTAAGCCCTCGCCCTCCTCGCCTGTGGCCTATGTGGAAACCAAGTATTCCCCTCCTGCCACGTCCCCCCTGGTGTCCGAAAAGCAGGTGGAAGTCAAAGAGGGGGTGGTTCCGGCATCCGAGGACCCCGCAGCCATGAGGATCGCAGGTATGGTAGAGCGGCGCTCGGAGCGCAGGGGCGGCCGTCTCGTCGGCCGCCGGACGGAGGACCTCACGGCTGGGCCTGGCGTCAGGGTGAATTCCCGGAGGGTGCCAGGGCTTAGCCGTCAGCTGCCGGGGCGGCACGGGGTGCCTGACCTTTGTGTTGAGGGGAAAATCTGTGCCCCTGACCAGCCCCCTTCAGGCTTTGCTGCCTGGAAGTTGTGCTCCACGCCGTGCGCGTGTGATACTCTCAGGCACCGTTGACGAGACAGTCCCTGTACTACTTCTTTTTATATTAAGATACGTTATTCTGTGAATGACATGGGGTTTTTCCTTTTTTCAATGCTTATTTTGTTTTGTATTTGTATTGAGTAAATGGATTGTATTCAGAGTTTTATCACACCGAAGTCAGCTCTTGACAGGAAAAGAGAAATTATGAATTTAGCCCAAAGTTAGCATTTAATTTAATTTTTATTTTTTAAATAAGCCTGTCTTTAATTCCATTTTCCATGAACTTTTTAAAAAGTTTTTATTTTTTAAAGATTTATTTATTTATTTGAGAGTCAGAGGAAGAGAGAGAAAGAGAGGTCTTCGAGCCACTGGATCACTCCCCAGATGGCCGCAACGGCCGCAGCTCGGCCTGTCCGGAGCCAGGAGCCTCTTCCGGTCTCCCACGCGGTGCGGGGCCCAGCACTTGGGCATCTTGCGCTGCTTTCCCAGGCCCCAGCAGGGAGCTGGACGGGAGGAGGCGGAGCAGGCGGGACTGAGCATTTCACTTTCCAGTGCTAGTGCTAAGGCTCTGAAGTCGGAGCGGTTCCCAGCACAGACAGAGTCGCGTGATTCACAGGTTGCTTTTCCGTTAAAGAAGGAGTTGGAAGTGCGAGGAGTGTGCCTGATGGGGCGCGTCCCAGAAGACAGGCGACTCGGGGCCGTGCGCTGGGCGGCTGGCGGTGAAGTGCAGCCGAGTCGCGGGTCCAGAGCTCTGTGCAGTCGTGGCGCCCAGGAGGCGGCGGCTCTCGCTCCGGGTTTGAGTCTCCCAGGAATTCTCTCCATGACTCTTGAGACTTCCTGCCCGGTTCCCCAGGGTTTTCTCCTGGAACGCCCGTGTGCGTCAGGATGAGCAGGGAGCTGCAGAGAGCGTGCCCTGTTGTGGAAGGTGGGATCCCTCCCGGGATGGCGCACCTGTGATCACAGTGCGATGACAGCTGGCAACTTTCTCAAGAAAGCGCTTTATCCCCACGCAAAATGCAGCACTTTGAACAGTCTTCGTGCTCGGGAGTTCTCCTAACAGGAGGAAGCAGTCAGCAGGCCAGGCAGCAGTGTTTTGGGCTTCATAAGCCTGTTAAAGAGCTGTGTGGTTTTGTATCAGAGCTTATACAAGGTGCTCATTGCAAGGGTGTAGTGTTCACAGCCAGGAGAGGGCCGCGCCGGCCTGTGTGTCAGTGAAGACGTTGGACTTTTTTTTTTTTTGTTTTTGTTTTTTTAAGATTTATTTATTTATTTGAAAGAGTTAACACAGGGAAGGAGAGGCCGAGAGGGAGGTTTTCTATCCGCTGGTTCATTCCCCACATGGCCGCAACGGCCAGAGCTGCACTGATCCGAAGCCAGGAGCCACGTGGGTGCAGGGACCCAAGGACTTGGGCCATCTTCTTCTGCTTTCCCAGGCCACAGCAGAGAGCTGGATCAGAAGTGGAGCAGCCGGGTCTCAAACCTGCGCCCACATGGGATGCTGGTGCTTCAGGCTGGGGCCTTAACCCGCTGCACCACAGCGCCGGCCCCTGGACGTTTATTTTTAACCTAAAATGAGAAATGCGTGCTTTTTAAAATATGTGTTTAAGTCATAGGAGGATTATAATTATACTTTACTCGCTAAATATTACTTCACAAATAAAAACTTCCCATCCCTGGGACATGTTCTGTGTGCACTTAAGGTAAGAAAGAACTTCATTTTCAATGTTTTCAATGCTCTGTCATGTGACCTTAAATGTGACGTGATACAGCTTACCACCTCTGCACGTGTTGAAATCTCACTGTTAGTTTGCTTTGTGAAACACGATGAAAGTAGGGTGACAGGAGTGCGGCTGCCTGTGCCCAGTGTCTGTGGCTGACCCGATCCCAGCCGCTTCATTTTCTCAGTCCAGTTTTGAGTAGGCCTGTTAGAAAGGTGTACTAGGCCAGCGGTGCCGGCACCCTGAGTTCTAGTCCCGGTTGGGGCGCCGGATTCTGTTCCGGTTGCTCCTCTTCCAGTCCAGCTCTCTGCTGTGGCCTGGGAGTGCAGTGGAGGATGGCCCAGGTGCTTGGGCCCTGCACCCCATAGGAGACCAGGAGAAGCACCTGGCTCCTGGCTTCAGATCAGCGCAGTGTGCCGGCTGCAACACACCGGCCGTAGCAGCCACTTGACGGGGTGAACCAACAGAAAAGGAAGACCTTTCTCTGTGTGTGTCTCTCTCTCACTGTCTAACTCTGCCTGTCACACACACACCAAAAAAAAAAAAAAAAAAAAAAGTGATTCTTTTCACAGTATTTCATTCTAAGTCTTTTTATTGAGCCCTGGAGACATAGAATGAAATTGCTGACAACTTGATACTACCTTTTTTTAAAAAGATTTATTTATTTGAGAGGCAGAGGCAGAGAGAGAGAAAGAGAGAGAGAGAGAGAGAGGTCTTCCATCCGCTGGTTCACTCCCCAAATGGCTGCAATGGCCAGAGCTGTGCAGTTCCGAAGCCAGGAGCTTCTTACAGGTCTCCCACATGGGTGCAGGGGCCCAAGGGCTTGGACCATCTTCTACTGCTTTCCCATTAGCAGAGAGCTGGATTGGAAGTGGAGCAGCTGGGACTCGAACCAGTGCCCATAAGGGATGCTGGCTCTGCAGGCAGCGGCTCTACCCCCTGCACCACAGCACAGGCCCCGAGGCTCGTGGTTTTAAGCAGCATTTAACTGGGTGAAGTGCCAGTTCTGTTGGAAGGCCTGTTGTGGCTGCAGTGGAACTTGACAGCCGTTAGGATCTGCCTGCTTCTCCTGAGTGTTTACCATTGTGTGCATTACCTCTGAGGAGAGAGGGAGATAGAACAATTCAGACACTAAGCCTATTCTTTTTTTAAAAAAAGATTTGTTTATTTTATTATTTGAAAGGCGCAGCTACAGAGAGGCAGAGAGGGAGGTCTTCCATCCGCTGGTTCACTCCCCAGGTGGCTGCAACGGCTGGAGCTGCGCCGATGCGAAGCCAGGGGCTTCCTCTGGGTCTCTGGACTTGGGCCATCTTCCGCTGCTCTCCCAGGCCACAGCAGGGAGCTGGATCAGAAGAGGAGCAGCTGGGGCTCGAACCCGTGCCCATATGGGCTGCCGGCACTAGGTGTGGTTTGTCACTCTGGTTGGCTCCCAGATGTCGTTCCTGAAAGAAGGTCTGAGGGGAACGAGCAGACGTGGGTTCATTCTGCTTGAGCGCGGCCCTGCTGTCCCCTCTGTCCCTGGGAGTTGGGGTCAGCCGGTCGCTGCACAGCAGAACCGCCCTTCCTCCCCGGGTTCTGGCGACCTCCCACCTCCCATTGCGGTGTTGGTTGTGCGTCAGACGGTGGTGGTGTTGACAGGGGCGCTTTAAATATGACCGAGAGTGGCACTGGTGAGAGTGGAGTTGAAGCCCTCTGCACACGGGCTCCTGCAGGTGCTGTGGTGAGCTGACCGTCCGTCACCCGCCTGCTCGTCCCAGACCAGGAGTTGTGGGCGTCTCTGGGCGCGTGCCAGGTTGCTGCTGGCTCATTGACGCACTTTGCACCTGTTGGTGTCCAGTTTATTTTATGGTTACTGAAGTTATTTAGGTGGGAACAGCTCCCTGCATACAACATGATACAAAACTAGACTACACATTGTTTGAATAGTGGGAATTTGAGAGAAAAGCGTAGGCAATAAAATTTCATTTTTAAGCATATGTTTCTAGTGGAGTGTCATTAGTTTATACAGAACGCTCGTAACTTCCATTTTCAGGGAATTGAAGCTCATGTCTCTCCTGGGGACTCTGGAAGTAGTTGGTTTTCTCCAACTCTTGCCTCAAGTGATTGCGTTTTCCTGTCCCTTCTGCCAGCTGCATCTCATGACGAAGATGACGGAGTGTGTGCGGGGAGAGGGCCGGCGTGCTGGTGTGCCGGCCGTGCCTGCGGCCCTCGCTCTGGCCGTGCACCAGTGCAGCTCGCTCCCTCGCAGGGAGGAGTCTGGGCTCTGCTCCAGGGGCGCAGCGGATGCAGCAGAGAGCCAGGCCGCTCGCCAGGCCTGGGCTCCTTGCCGGCGCGCACAGGCTCTCCCAGCCACCGGATAAAACAGCCTTGGAGTCTCTTGGGCCTTTCCTAGCTAGCTGGAGTGGAGCTATTTGCATAACTAGTGCTTCCGTCTCCAGATGTCTCGGCCGTCCTTGGTGACCATTTAGTGAATGCTCACTGAGTGCCGGGCACTGTCTGGGGCAGTTGCTGGGAGGGTAGGCTAAGGTCCAGGAGCAGAAAGCAGCAGAGGGATATGGGGGGGATTCCAGGCTGGGAGACCGCCGTGTAGCCCACAGGGTAGCAGAAACAGCTGGGGGACCAAGAAGGGTGAGGGGTGGGAGGCGTGCTGTTGCACAGAGAGCATGTGGGCTCCTCGGTGGAGCTTCCTGTCCAGGAAACAGGCCACTAATACAGGGCCACGGGGAGAGGTCACTCCTGTCCAGGAGACAGGCCTCTAATACAGGGCCACGGGGAGAGGTCACTCCTGTCCAGGAGACAGGCCACTAATACAGGGCCACGGGGAGAGGTCACTCCTGTCCAGGAGACAGGCCACTAATACAGGGCCACGGGGAGAGGTCACTCCTGTCCAGGAGACAGGCCACTAATACAGGGCCACGGGGAGAGGTCACTCCTGTCCAGGAGACAGGCCACTAATACAGGGCCACGGGGAGAGGTCACTCCTGTCCAGGAGACAGGCCTCTAATACAGGGCCACGGGGAGAGGTCACTCCTGTCCAGGAGACAGGCCTCTAATACAGGGCCACGGGGAGAGGTCACTCCTGTCCAGGAGACAGGCCTCTAATACAGGGCCACGGGGAGAGGTCACTCCTGTCCAGGAGACAGGCCACTAATACAGGGCCACGGGGAGAGGTCACTCCTGTCCAGGAGACAGGCCTCTAATACAGGGCCACGGGGAGAGGTCACTCCTGTCCAGGAGACAGGCCACTAATACAGGGCCACGGGGAGAGGTCACTCCTGTCCAGGAGACAGGCCTCTAATACAGGGCCACGGGGAGAGGTCACTCCTGTCCAGGAGACAGGCCACTAATACAGGGCCACGGGGAGAGGTCACTCCTGTCCAGGAGACAGGCCTCTAATACAGGGCCACGGGGAGAGGTGGCAGGTGCGCTGTGGGAGAGCTCGGGAGGGGCTGTTGGAGTTGGCCAGGCCTGCTTGGGACCGTGAGAAGATGCTGATGACACAGAGGGACTGTATTTTGGTTTATGGAAGACTTGTTTCTAGAGAAAAATTTTCTAGAATAACAGTAGTTGTCAAGTGAAATTTGGACCGTTCAGTCTGTTTTTTCTGTTTTCTGAGTATGTAAAGATTTATTCTGCGCTTAAGAATGTTGTACCAGTGGCCGGCGCTGTGGCATAGCAGGTAAAGCCGCCGCCTGCAGTGCCAGCATCCCACATAGGCGTCACTTCAAGCCTCGGCTGCTCCTCTTCCGATCCAGCTCTCTGCTGTGGCCTGGGAAAGCAGTGGAGGATGGCCCAAGTCCTTAGGCCCCTGCACCGGCGTGGGAGACCTGGAGGAAGCTCCTGGCTCCTGGCTTCAGATGGACCCAGCTCTGGCTGTTACGGCCACCTGGGGAGTGAGCCAGCAGATGGAAGACCTCTCTCTCTGCCTCTTCTCTCTCTCCGTGTGTGTAACTCTTTCAAATAAATGAATCTTAGAAAAAGAAGAAAAGGTTGTGCCAGAGTGCTCTTTCCGAGCCTTCTGAAGACCTGGCACAACCTGGCTGGTGCGTTCCCCGGAGGTGCTGCTCTGTGCGGCTCCAGGGCTTTGGCGCTGTGCTGGGGCTGTGCCGTGTGCGATGTTGTCACTTGGACAGACCACTAGGCGATACTCAAAGCCTTGACCTTAACACCGTGGAGAGAAGCAGCAGAATTGCTCCTTGTGGCTGCCTCGCCTCTCCCTGCAGCTGGCGTTGATCTGAGGCAGAGGCTGGCGTGCAGGCTGGGGGTGCCGTCTGATCTGCTGATCCTGCGTTGGCGCCCAGGGGCTGGCGTGGGATGTCCTGTGTGCTGCTCGCCTGAGAACGTGCAGGGGGCTGTGTTCCAGGGCTGCTTTCCCAGCCAGACTTCACTGTTTCATACCTGACTCCAAATTAGTTCTCAAAACTTAACACTATGAATTCAAAGTGCTCTTTTTAAAAAATCTTTGATGACACAGCATTTCTTTCTTTTGTTGTTTTTTAAAATATTTATTTATTTGAGAGGCAGAGAGAAAGAGGGAGGTCTTCCATCTGCTGGTTCACTCCCCAGTTGGCTGCAACAGCCAGAGCTGGGCCGATCTGAAGCCAGGAGCCAGGAGCTTCTTCTGGCACTCCCACGCCGGTGCAGGGGCCCAAGGACTTGGGCATCTTCCACTGCTTTCCCAGGCCATAGCAGAGAGCTGGATCGGAAGTGGAGCGGCTGGATCCTGAACTGGCACTGCAGGTGGCGACTTTACCCACTACGCCACAGCGCTGGCTTCTGACAGTGCTATTAACCGTCATCTGGGCTTTTTTTTTTTTTTTTTTAATAATTTTGTCCAAGAGAGAGAGAGAGAGAGATCTTCTGTTTGCTATTTTGCTCCCCAGAACTGGGCCAGGCTGAAGCCAGGAGCCCAAAACGCGATCCGTGTCTCTCCACGTGGGTGACAGGGACCCAAGGACCTGAGCCGTCACCTGCTGCCTCCCAGGGTATGCGTCAGCAGGAAGCTGGATTGGAAGTGGCAGAGTCAGGACTCAGAGAAGGCACGCTGAACTGGCGTGGCAGGGGCCTGGCGTTGCGACGTAGCGGGTAAGGCTGCCACCTGCAGTGCTGGCATCCCGTACAGGCGCTGGTCCAGCTGCCTGCTGATGTCCTGGAAAAAGCAACGGGACGTGGCCCAGGTGCTTGGGCCCCTACTCCCCACATGGGAGATCCGGAAGAAGCTCCTGGTTTGTCTGGCCCAGCCCTGACCGTTGCAGTCTTCCAGGGAGTGAGCCAGTGGATGGAAGATCTCCCTCCCTCTCTCTCCCTTTCTCTCTCTATAACTCTGACTTTTGAATAAGTAAATCTTTTCAAAAATAAACACATGAGAAGGCAGGTGTCTCAAGCAGTAGCTTAGCTGCTCCGCGTGTCAGCTCCCTGGTGTGTTTGGTTCTGTAGTCTCAGGGTAGTTGGCGTGGGAGAAAGTTCAGGTGTTCTGTGATGCCTGGCTTCGGCTGGCTCTTCCGCGTTCCGCAGCGGCATCTGCTGATCAGGAGTGACCGCCTCAGACACCCCCGCCCGTCCTGTCCTAGCAGGTTCTGCCTCCCGCAGCACGAAGAAGGTGAGGGGTGCCGTTTCCTCCTTCCCCCACCTGGGAACCGCAGTGCCCGGTCCTGCAGGTTCCGTGCCACTTGGCTGATGGCACACTTGCTGGTGTCTGCTTGCTGCTGTCCACGGCCCCTCTCCTGTTTGTCTGTCAGGCGTCTGCTTCCAGCCCTGCACCGGGGTTTGTGCGGTGCAAATATGTCGCGCGCTGGTCTGTGAGTGTGATGTCCTCCTTGGCGGTGTCAGCCTGTGTCTCACCAGTCTCTGAAGCTGTCTCATCGCTTCCTGAACAAGCACCCCGTCCGTTTGCCGTGTCCCAGCCAGTGAGCCTCTCCTGCTCTCTGTCGGCGCCTGGGCCCCTGCGGCCTGCTGTTGCCCTCCTAGGACCAGGCTAAGCGTTGGTCCCGACCCTTCAGCTTGGCCTGCTCTGTGTGGTGCGTAGCCGGCAAAGCTCGGTCCCTCCAGGCACTGGCCTGCACGCTCGCCTGCTGCAGGGGTCCAGGGCGGGCAGCCTGACCCAGACCGAGGCCCCTGTGTCAGGAAGGCAGCTCCTGGGTGTTACAGTTACTCACACACTTCACTGTAGCTGCTGCGTTGGTGTTTCCGTCGGAGGCATTCTGCTGTGGCGACGCTGTGTGACCTGGTGAGCAGTGTTGGTCACCCTACTGTGACCGACGCACCTGGAGTGGTGGGCGCTTGTGAGAGCAGACAGGTTAGTCAGAACCCCTGGAGGTGGACGTTCTTACGTCTGTGGGAACCTTCAAGTCGCAGAGATTTTACGGAAGCACATTAGACAGTGGGCAAGGGCCCTGCCTCTGGGCGTCGCTGGTCGCTGGGCCTGGTCCCCTCCATCTCCTCACCTGTGGGATGGAGAAGACGGTGGTGCCGCCTTGACAGGTCTGTTCCCACGGTGACGAGCAGCGCACATGGTCTCTGCTGGGTGTTGTCACACCAGGTCTCGAGACTCAGGTGTGCCTGATCTGTCACTGCAGGCCCTGGTCTGCCTCCCTGCGAGAGAGAGCAGCCGCGAGCTGTCTGTGGACACTGTGTGGGCTCTGCAGCCTGCAGGAGGGAGCGTGTGTGTGTGTGCGCGCGCGCATCTGAATTTTCCAAAGTACTTTGTTCGTTCGACTTGTACGTGAGTCTGGGACGTGGTAGCACAGCTGTGTTCTAGAAGAAAAAGGCTTTTGGTTGCGTCAGGTCCTAGGTGGATGCCAACCCCAGATGTGTCCTCAGTACAAGTAAAGGGGGCAGTGTGCTGCGGCCGCGGGCTGGCGTTCAGGGCCAGTTGCTGTTACTCAGCCGCCTTTCCGTATCGTTGGGGGAGGGGAGTGGCAGCACTCCTGCGCTGCGCTAAGGATTGGGTCTGCCAGTTAACCGCTGCGGACTGGGGAGGACACGCTGCGTGTGGGGGATTCGCAGCGGGAGCTAGGAACTCCGGAGTTCCTCTGCCCTGACGCAGAGGGGTGCCGCAGCCTGGATCCCAGGGGGCGGAGCTTGTTTGCAGATGGGACTTGCTGCGTGGGTTTTAGAGTGGACAGGTGGTGTCCTTCATAGCAGTCTGCTGTCCCCAAAGGACGTCGGTGCCGAGGACGGAGAGGTGAGGCCATGCGGGGTCTGCCCTGTCCCCGTTGTCTCGCGCCTGCGGGCCTCGGTGTCCGGGGCATCCCAGCTGTTCCCTGGTGCTGGCGGCGCTGCTCAGCTTCCTCCTGGGTTTGGGGAAACGTTCACGTGAAAAGGGATTTCAGCCATGATATCGTGCTTGACAGGGAGTGAAGGGCACGCGCTTCCTGTGTGTGCTTTCCTGAAGGGCTTTAGCACTGCAGTGAGGGGCCTGCGACCGTCAGTGTTGTCCACTCATGTCACTAACGTCTCAAACATGCCCCTTTGCTCTGTTGCAGAGTTACTGGAGAATGTGACGCTGATCCATAAGCCAGTGTCGCTGCAGCCTCGCGGGCTGATCAATAAAGGAAACTGGTGCTACATTAATGCTGTATCCTTCCTGGACTGTGCCCAACGCCGGCCACCGGCGCGGCTCCTCCGGGCGCCTTTCGCTTGCTGTTACCTGGTCCACCTCCCTTGTTTGTAAACAGGGTTACTCCTGAGCCCAGCTTTCCACCCACTACAAAGAGGGTTTGTTACCTGCACGTGACGGCACCAGGCAGGCTCTATTCTCACGACAACGATGCCGAGTCGTAGAGCAGTGACCCCTCCCAGCTGGAAGCCTTGCGCTGATCTGACGATCTGGGTGGAATCAAGTTCTTGACTTGATCAATCAGCTTGACCGCGTGGTCCATCCTTCCTCGGACGACACAGGGCAGTTACCCGAGTGAACACTGGGCTCGCTCCCTCCGGTGTGCACGTCCGAGTCGAGTTTGGGTTTTCTCTGCTCTGTTGTGGGCCTCGAGGCCGCTCGCTGTGTCGGTTCTGTCTCCTTCACGCTTCCTTACGCCCGTGCGCAGACGCTGCAGGCCCTGGTTGCGTGCCCGCCCATGTATCACCTGATGAAGTTCCTTCCTCTGTACTCGAAGGCGCAGAGGCCTTGCACGTCCACACCCATGATAGACAGCTTGTAAGTGGGGCTTGAAGACGGCCCGGGGCTGGGGTGCATCCTCTTTGGTAACTACTGTTGAAATAGTTTAGGGAGGTTCCTGGTTTCCCACGAAGGAGTCCTGTCATTTTTTTTAATGTGCCATTCATGGTTTTGTGTGGAGGTTCATTGGAAATAGAGTTGGAGCGTTGTTTGTCTGTGTTGCTTAGGTTGAGTAGAAGACATTTCAGTGTGTATCAGCTTAAAATGTACCAAAAGGCAGGTCGAGAGCATTCAGAGTGCACCAGTGTCCCAGCATTGGTTGCCTGAGCCTGCTGTAGTCACCCTAATAGACACTCTGCTGAGCCATCAAGGCTCCCTAGTGGGGTGTTGTGGAAGACACACTGCTTAACGTTCTCCCTCCATGTTTAGTGTTCGGCTGATGAACGAGTTTACCAATATGCCGGTGCCTCCAAAACCCCGACAAGGTGAGTGCGGCTGAGGTGAGGACCCACGATGCCGTTGCATGCTGGGAGGGTGCTGCCGAGAGCAGGCTGGGTCAGCTCAGCCGCGGCTCAGACAGCTGTGGGAGGGGAGCAGGGTTTGATGGTTTGGCTTTCGTCCTAGTTAAGGCAGTCTGTGTCTGGTTTGCTTTCTAGCTCTTGGGGATAAAATCGTGAGGGACATCCGCCCTGGAGCTGCCTTTGAACCCACGTACATCTATCGACTCCTCACCGTCATCAAGTCCAGCCTGTCGGAAAAGGTTTGAGCTGTTTGCTGCCGTTGTCCGCTCACTGTCGCTGGTCCGTGCCTGCCCTCCGCCACCAGAGGGCACACTTCCTGGGAGTGCCAGAGTAGATCTGGGTTTGAGTCAGCTGCCGGCTGATGGAGCTTCTACTGTGTGCCAAGTGCCAGGGCGGGCGCTGTACGGAGGGACTGCGTCCTCACTGCGCGTGTGACGGCGTTGTCTGCTTGTCACAGGGAGCCTGGCTCTTGGGAAGGCCCTGACCAGTGTGCTGTCCCGCCTTTCAGGTGGAGTGGAGTGTGGCCCAGGAGGACGGGGACGGTCACGAGAGCTCCGTCTTCCTCGAGCTGAGGCCTCGGGCGCGCGGTGTCCTTTACCCGGATTCCTTACCATTGTGTTTGGGAGCCGGAGCACGCAGGCCTGGGAGCGTGCTGACGCGGTTCAGGAGGCATTTCTTCTTCCCTCTGGAAGGGCTTACCTGGCGCACGAGTGCCTGCGGCTGAAGGGGCGTTGAGGACGCCCTTCCACTCAGTGAGGCTCCCTGGCCTCCCGGCTCCGTCCCGGGCAGCGTCGCGGGCGACCACCAGGCAGCGTCGAGTTGCAAGCTTTTCCAGGGCCCGTTGTGCAGCTTTGGCCCTGGGAATGTGCGGTGTTGCTTGGGGTGCAGAAGGGACTCCGGTCTGTCATCTGGCCCGGAGAGCTGGCTGCTGGGGGTCACTGTGTCGTCTGCGTGGACAGATGAGAGAAGCGCGAGATGGACGACACCCAGGTGCTTGAAAAGCCAGAGGAAGGCCGGCGCCGCGGCTCATTAGGCTAATCCTCCGCCTTGCGGTGCCGGCACACCGGGTTCTAGCCCTGGTCGGGGCGCCGGATTCTGTCCCGGTTGCCCCTCTTCCAGGCCAGCTCTCTGCTGTGGCCCGAGAGTGCAGTGGAGGATGGCCCAAGTGCTTGGTCCCTGCACCCCATGGGAGACCAGGAGAAGCACCTGGCTCCTGGCTCCTGCCATCGGATCAGCGCGGTGCACCGGCTGCAGCGCGCAGGCCACGGCGGCCATTGGAGGGTGAACCAACGGCAAAGGAAGACCTTTCTCTCTGTCTCTCTCTCTCACTGTCCACTCTGCCTGTCAAAAAAAAAAGCCAGAGGAGGCCTGCCCAGCTTGGGGTGGGGCTTCCTGAGGCGGCGCCCTCAGCACTGTGCTCGGGTAGAGTTCGCTGAGGCACTGGGAGCTCTCGGGGGACTGCAGCCGGCGTGCGGTGGGCGCACTGTAGTGCTGCAGTAGAGCATGAAGCGGACCCAGAAGCGAGAAGACGCGGGGTGAGGGCTGGAGGGCACGCCGGACCCTTCTGCCGGGGCAGCCCCACAGGCCCGCCTGTGACACCCAGTGTGTTGTCTTGTGGTTGTCTTGTTTTTCTTTTTGAAGATTTACTGTTTGTTTGAACGGGTTACTGAGACAGTAGGGAGAGACAGGGATCTTCATCTGCTGGTTCACTCTCTGTGTAGCTGCACCAGCCAGGGCGGAGCTGGGCTGAAGCCAGGAGCTTCTTCTGGGCGTCCACGTGGGTGCAGGGCCCAAGCACTTGGGCCTTCTTAGGCTGCTTTCCCAGGCCGTTAGCAGGGAGCAGGATTGGAAGTCGGGCAGCTGGGACACAAGCGGCACCCGTACAGGCTGCCTCACAGAGCGACGGCTTCACCCGCCGGGCCTCAGCGGCAGCTCCGCGTGTTGTGTGCCAGGCAAGCCGGTCGGAGACTTGGCGCCCTGGGTTTTCTCGGGAGGGGAGTCCCACGAGTGCCCCTCCCTGCTTGAAGCAGAACGCCACGGTCGCGGGAGGAAGCGCGAGCACACTGCTTGCACACACAGGGTGGGCGCAGTCTCTTCACGGTTCTCGGAACGGCAGGGACTCTGCTGAACTCCAGGTTCTCAGGCCGAGGCCTTTCCAGAGAGGGCAGCCCCGGGCCAGAGCTCGGCCGTGTGGGCTGTGCCCGTGGTCCCTGTCGGGGAGTGCAGATAAACCCCTGCGCAGCTCCCCGGGGCCCGGCAGCAGGGAACGTGCTGACCCCGGGAGCGTGGTCTGCGCTGAGGAAGGAATCGCGAACTCCTGATAAACTGCAGAGTCAGACACAGCAGTGGGGTGGGGAGCTGGCGCGACTCCTGGGAGCCTGCTGCTCTGTGCCTCTGTACAGAACAGCTCAGCCTTTTTTTTTTTTTTTTTTTTTTAAGATTTCTTTATTTGAAAGGCAGAGAGACAGAGGCAGAGAGAGAGAGAGAGAGAGAGGTCTTCATCCAGTGGTTCACTCCCAGATGGCTGCAGTCGATGGAGCTGGGCCGATCTGACCAGGAGCCAGGAGCTTCTTCCTGGTCCCTGACAGAGGCGCAGGGGCCCCAGCACTCGGGCTTCTGCTGCTTTCCTAGGCCACCGCAGGGAGCTGGGTGAGAAGTGGAGCAGCCAGGACTGGAACCAGCGCCCATACGGGATGCCGGCCCCGCAGGTGGCGCGTTACCTGCTGCACCACAGCGCCGGCCCCTGAGTCTTTGTTTATTCATTTGAAGGCAGAGTGACAAGAAGAGGAGGACACAGAAACCTTTCGTGTGCTGGTTCACTCCTCACCTGGCCGCAATGGCCGGAGCTGGGCCGGACCAAAAACGAGAGCCTGGAACTCCATGTCTCGCACGTGGGTCGCAGGGGTTCAGATACTTGCACCATTGGCAAGGAGCTGGGCTGGAAATGGAGCCGCTGGCCCTCTATGGGATGCTGGCTTAGCCTGCTGCACCACAGCGCCAGCCCTAGCAGCTGGACGTTTCTCACATACGTCGTGAGTCCTTTCTCTCGTAGGTGCCTGTCAGAGACAGGAGAGGACGTACGGGCTGCTGACGTCATAGCTCCTCCTGAACACCCATCTCGGGGGTGTACGGGGGGTGGCACCAGGCACCTGGTTCCTGGTCTTCGACTTCATTTAAGCAAAAAAGAAACTATTTATTTTAAAAGATCTATTTATTTGAAAGAGATTGATCCGGCATCCTCTGGTTCACGCCGCATCCCTGGCTCGCTCCCCGAGTGGCTGCAGCAGTCCCCCAGGTGGCTGGCACGGCCCAAGCACTTGAGCCGTCACCTGCTGCCTTCCTCAGCTAGCCGGGCAGGCTGAGTTGGAAGCACAGTAACCGGGCTCAGACTCCCACTGTGACAGGGGCGCCAGTTCCCTGCGGCAGCCTAACCTAACCTGCCCCTCTCCAGCCTTTTAATTTTTTTCTTCATTTAAATACCATTTTTGCTATAAGGTATAAATAGTGTGGAAACTATGGAAAAAGCAAAAACCAAGAAGCTAACGGTGGCGTCGCTTGCCCCACGGCTCAGTGTGCCTCGTGTCCCCAGGCCCTCAGCTCTGCAGAGGCCAGTTTTCGGAAGTACTTTGTGTGTAGGCTTAAGAATCGCAGTGGAGGCGCGGTTTGCGGCGGGGGAGCCGGGCCCGCAGGCCGCGGGCATGCGGCTGACACCGGGGTGCTCGTGTGCCCCCAGGGCCGGCAGGAGGACGCGGAGGAGTACCTGGGCTTCATCCTCAACGGGCTGCACGAGGAGATGCTGGGCCTCAAGAAGCTGCTGGCGGCGCACGGCGAGCGTGAGTCCCGCGGGAGCCAGGGCCCTCCCCCGCGAGCGGTGTCTCCACGCGTGCCCCTCGCTTGTGTGTAGGCCCCTCCCCCAACAGCCAGAATTCACGGGCTCGCTCGGTGGTGGGGCTCCGGTTACCTGTGCATCGCCTGCCGCACGCGCGCGGCGTGTGTGCGGTCTCCTCGGCTGGTCGGGAATCGAGTCCCGTGGTGCTGAGGCGCGTCCTGGGAAGCCAGAGGTGGCCGCACCGCGCGGCCTGGTCTGCAGACCGCCCTGCGTCTCTCCGAGGTCTTGTGGTGCTGGCTTGGCCGCTGCCCTGCTGGTGGCGGCCCTGCATGGGCAGCGCCCTGGCCTCCTCCTGCAGCCACGCAGGCTCCCGGCTTGCTCGCTTCCTGTGGTCTTTGCTGCAAGCAGTCGCCTGAGCAGACTCTCCTTTCAGAGCTGGCCATTCCCAATGGGCCCAGAAGCCGCCCCGGGACCCAGGAGCAGGAGGAAGAAGGCGAAGGCAGTGAGGAGGAGTGGGAGCAGGTGGGCCCCAGGAACAAGACCTCGGTCACCCGGCAGGCCGACTTTGTTCAGACGCCCATCACCTGCATTTTCGGTGGACACATCAGGTTTGTGCTTTTCGGGGACAGCGGGTCTGGGCGTTGCTGTGCTGCCAGGGGATGAAGGGCCTGAGCCGGGGGGGGGGGGTCTCTGCTCCTGTGCGCCACTCCTCAGCTGTTTCAGAGGCCAGATGGAAGGCGTCAGCGTCCACTCGCTTGCCCTGAGGGCTCTGTCGTGGCCGCCAGCCTCAGCCTCTGTGTTGTCTTTGTGGTCATGGTTGTTAGTATTTCTTTTTGAAAAATGGTAAAGTGGGGGCCGTTGCTGTGGTACAGCCAGTAAAGCCAAAGCATGCAGTGCTGGCATCCAATATGAGCGCCAGTTCCTGTCCGACGCCCCACTTCCGATCCAGTGCTGTAGAATGCGCCTGGGAAGGCAGTGGAAGGGGGCCCGCGAGCCTGGGCCCCTGCACCCACGCGGGAGGCCCAGAACAAGCCCCTGGCTTCGGATTGGCTGTTGCGGCCATTTGTAGAGTAAACCAGTGGATGGAAGACCTCTCTCTTTCTCTGTCTTTCCTGTGTCACTCTGCCCTTCAAATAAATAAATGAATCTTCTAAGACGTGGTAAAGTAGAGGGAAGGAAACCTTATAGGTCCCCAGCTCTCTGGTCGTCAGCCACAGTTCTTTATTCAGACCAGTTGAAAGACTTTCTTCCAAGATTTGGCTTTCTGGTTTTTCTGTTTTGTTGTGTTTTGAGAAAACACGGGATCTCGGAGACCGGAGCCCACTTGTCAGTGTCTTCGCTGGCTCTCACTGCTGGTTCCCCACTGTGCCTTTCTGAAACTCCTGGGCCTGCCACACTCAGATCTTTGCATTCCAGAGCAAAGATTTGCTCTGTTGACCCTGGGTACAGGAGCTGGCCGCATGGTCTTGGCAGCCTCTGTTGGGCAGAGCCCAGGCACCTGGCCACACCTGCTGGCCCCTCACTGCAGACTGCCGAGCGCTTGTCGAGCTCCCACGGAGACATGGACACACTGTTGTCACTTGGAAAAACTTGGATAAAACGAGATGGAAAACCAGCCGAGAAAACAAGGCTGGGCCAGCACCCTTCCTGGAAGGCTGTAACCCTTTTCTCCGGGAATGCAGTGCTAACTTGTTTTTATCACACTCGTCCTACGCCCCCACTGTCTGTAAGTCACTTTTTATAGGGGGAAAATGCCATTAAAAATAGGCGGCTCACGCTGGGGTTTCCTGTGTGCTGGAACAGCTGAGACTTGAAAGGAGCCACCTGGAGGCCGTGGAGGGGCTCACGTGTGTTACCTGTGCAGGGGACACAGCGTGCAGGAGGGGACGCACGGAGCACTTGAGCTGGGAAGGTTATCCCTGGTAGCTGTAGTCACTAGAAATGTGTAGGCAGTGGAGTGTAGCGGAATTATTTTTAAGTTCATGATTTGTTGCTTTTCTGTTCTCTGGTCTTAGAGTAAAACTGAATAATCTGATCTCCCATGTTTATTCCTCTTCTGGTTCATCTTAAGGGAAAATGGTAGGCAGTGGTCTCCTGAGTTTTCTGTTTTGCTTTCCATTCTCAGGTCTGTGGTTTACCAGCAGAGTTCGAAAGAATCGGCCACTCTGCAGCCCTTCTTCACGCTGCAGCTGGACATCCAGTCCGACAAGATACGCACAGTCCAGGACGCCCTGGAGAGCCTGGTGGCCAGGGAGTCTGTCCAAGGGTACACCACAAAAACCAAACAAGAGGTACACTCACCGTGGACCTTGAACCCCGTGTGCCGAACACTGTGGCTTGGGAATCGGCGGTGGCATTGAGCTCTGCTGAGCTCTGGACTGAACGTTCCCATGGTTCCAGAATGAGCCCAGCAGTGCTCCCGCCCCTCCGCACTCGCTGGCCCCGAGCTGCCGTCTGACCGTCTCGGGACTCAGTACTGCCCGTCCCGGAGTCTGGGACACTTACTCCAGTCCATGATCTGGAGTACAGTTGTTAATAGATGGGTTAGGATAAAAGGAGTTTTAAACACTTGTTTTGTATTTATGATAGATCTTTAAGGGCACTGAAAAATAGAAAAGTGTGCCGACACCTGTGTCCTCCGGTTTCCTGTGAGAAAGAGGACGCCTCGAGGCTCCATCCTCAGTGGTGGCGGGGCAGAGGACAGCCGTGTGTCCTTGTCAGCACAGCCAGGCTCCGCCCTGTGTGGCTCCGGCAGGGAGCGCTCAGAGGTGTGCTGGGGAAGGGGCAGGCGTGCAGCTTGTGGGCAGTGTGTACTGGCCCCGGGAGAGACGCAGTGGCCCGGCTCAGAAAGACTGCGCTGTGCCCCCGGCGTGCGAGCGCAGAGCCGGCATAGAGGGTCCCACTGCATCCCGTGAGGCCCGGCTCTCGGGATCTGCAGGAGTTAGCCCAGTCTCCGCTGTGTCTCCTGACTTGCTTCTCACGGGTGATTTTGTTTGAAAAATAAACATGGTAGGAGCCAAAGACAGAAACGTGGCTGCTGGCTTAAGGGAGGACACTGAGAGAGTCTGGCGCTGGGACCTCACGGGGGGCGGGGCAGGGTTTGTGTCGGGGCAGCCGTGGCTGGCTGTGGGCTCCCTGCTGCGGCAGCTGTGACCCCTGGAGAGGGCTCCCTGCCCTCCTGTGGTGTGTGCTTCTCCTCCCCTGGCCCTTGCCGGTCACATCAGGACTGCAGGGGTGGAGCGGGCAGGCCTGAGACGGCCGCAGTGAGTGTGCCAGGCCAGGGCAGTTCTCCCGGACAGCCCGTGTGCCAGAGGCCGCCGCGGGAGCCTGTAGTGCTGGACGTGGTGGTATGTGTGCACCACGAGACCACGAGCCTTGGAACGCAGCGGGTGAGGAGAGACTGGACAGCTTGGATGGATGTACATAGAAAAGGCAAATAGCATGAGATTTTTCTGAAATTTATCTTCTAAATCCTGGGTTAATTTTACTGGATTTTTAGGTCAAACACTTTTTTCTGTGGGAACGTGTGAAGGAGGGCTTACAGAGTACCTGCTGTGTGGAGCATGTCCGGTTGTGCTGGGCGATAAGAAAGTACGCCTCGAGTTGCTAGAAACCCAGCGTGCACACTTGGGGGTGTGGGGTTAGGCATTTCAGGAGTGGCAGGAAGTGGTGCAGCTTGAGATCCCGAAGCCCACACAGCGTCCCGGAGGTGACGTGATCCAGCCTCTCTCAGAGCGAGGGCCTGGCGTCGGCTGCCCTTCCCTTAGCCAGCTGAGAGGTGGCTGGGACGTGGCGGTGGGTGAGTGCAGCCAGTGCGGGGCATGGTCTGTCTCCCTGAGGCTTGATGCCCTGGGAGACGCAGCCAGGCCCCTCTAGAGTCCCGATACTGTTTCTGTGTCCCGTGTGCTGCCTTCTTACTGTCACTTTCAAGTGTCTGTCCCCCACATATGAGCCCGTGACAGTTCCTGCAGAGCAGGCGAACACGAGTAATGGAGGTACTGCTGGCTGTCATTCAGGCCCCAGAGTGGAGTCCTGCCGTGAGCTCCCTGCTGGTTTGGGGGTGGTGCTTTCTAGGGAGAGCCAGGGCGGAAGCTTGGGAGCTTCCGGCTGCAGGGAAGGGTGGGAGACTCGCGCCGTGGGGCTGGCTCGGACGGGCGTCTGTTGCTCCCGGCCGTCCAGCGCGTCCTGGTGTGCTCTGTGCCTTGTCAGGTGGAGATAAGTCGGAGAGTGACTCTGGAGAAGCTCCCGCCTGTTCTCGTGCTGCACCTGAAACGATTTGTGTACGAGAAGACGGGTGGCTGTCAGAAGCTGATCAAAAATATTGACTATCCTGTGGACTTGGAGATCAGTAAAGGTAATGGCTCAGGAGCGAGTCGTGTGCGGGCTGCGCCCCTGCGGGCCAGCAAGCTCAGCTCGGCGCTGGCGCTGGCGCTGCGCAGGGCCGTGTTAGGAAGCTGGCTGGTCCTTTTGTAAGAAGTCTTCTCTTGTTTCAGTAGAACTTTACATTAAAGTTCTCATTAAAAGCTAGATAAAAGGTAGGCAAAGTTGAAACAATCCTGTAATCTCTGTAGATAAAACAGGCTTTGTACATCAAAAGAGCAGTTTTCTATAAGCATTTTTGACAGGTTTTTCAGAACCATGTGTGCAATTTTTCAGCAAAGATTGGCTTGTGAAGGCAGCGGGATAGTGATACAGATAGCCACTGGTGCGCGGCCCAGATGCCTGCAGCCGCCGGGCTAAGCTACCCTGAAGCCAGGGGCCAGAAGCTCCATCCCGTTCGCTCCCTTGGCCTCGTCTGCTGCCTGCCCAGCTGACTCAGCAGGAAGCAGGGTCCGTGGCAGAGCGGCCGGAACTTGCCGAAGCCGGCTCCCAGTTCCACGGGGCAGCCTGACCACCACGTCCCAGCACCTGCCCTGTCGTAAGCATTTTATGAGTGAGTAGAATGTGATAATTTCCCTCGTAGGAGGTACTGACGCCTGCGGGACAGGCCTGGTCAAATGGACACCGGTGAATTTGGACGCTTTCTGTAGACTGGCAGTTCCTTCTGCCCTCTGGTGTCCGCAGGCAGTCAGGCCTCAGCAGGTCTGGCACATTTGAAGTTCTCCTGATAACAGCACAGCTTGAGGGAAAACTGGAAAGCCTCAGAGCTGTGGGACGTGCGTGGGGCGTGCCTGGGGCTTGCCTGGGAATGTGACGCCCAGACTGGCAGGGGACCTGGGCAACAGGTGGGGACACCGCCGTCCCTCTGCATCTGGGAGGAGCAAGCCGCAGCGTGGAGGCTCCCTCCCCCAGCACAGCGCCCACACCTGTTCCCCGGACTTCCCAGTGCAGGTGACTGAGTTGCTGCCGGCCTCTGTGTGTGGTCAGCTTCCTTGTACCCTAGGGACCCTGCCCAGAGGCACTTGGGAAGGGGCGTGTGCTTGGCCCGCTGGCTCCCACGTCCTGCGTGGGAGTGCCTGGGTTTGATTCCCGGCTCCGGCCTCCACCGTCCTGCTAACCCAGAGCTCAAAGCAGGCAGCTGTGGTGGCTCACGTGATTGTTCCTGCCAGGCACTTGGGAGACCTGGGTGTTTCTGGTTCCTGGCTTCCTCCCAGCCCCGTCCTGGCTGCTGGGGCCTTGACCTCTCTATGCCTCTCAAGTAAATATATAAAAGTTGAAGAAAGTTCAGGAGACCGTACCTGATTTGTTGATACACGTTTTCTGTGAACTTCCAGAAGCCCCTCGTGCTGCCGTCAGTTTCAGATGCGGGCAGTGTCTTCCAGGCCCGCTCGCGGAGCCCCGACTCGGCCAGCAGGCGCTGCTGCTGGGCCCGTTTTCCCGCGCGGCTCCTCTTGGATCTGCAGCCGGGACCTCGCCCTCGGCAGCAGGCCTTCTGATCCCATTTGAGGACCAGGGAAGGAGGCCGGGGCATCGGCTTGTGCGGATCATCCTTCCCGCCTGCTCTGTCTCTCGGGAAACCTGGGGCCAGCCTCGCCAGAGGCCTCCCCGGCCGCAGCCCGCCCCTGCCCCCCGCCCCCCGCCCCTGCCCCCCGCCCCTGCCCGCTGGGGGCTTGGGAAGGGTGTTTTTGTATCAGCTGCCTTCCGAGAAACCGCATCGGAGAAGGGACATGGGGACACAGTGCAAAGCCCTTGGGTTTTCTGGGACAGGTTGGTTGGTTGCTGTGTTTCTCCGTGTTTGGCACCTCCGTGCTCAGGGATTCTCCGAGGAAGCCGCACGGGGACGGTGCGCTGCTCACGTCCTCCCCGAGCCGCTGGCTTGTGCGCTGGGCGTGTTAGTACGCATTGCTCGGCGCTTGGCGTCGTGGACCAGTGTTTATGCCAGCAGAGGGTGGAGTTCTGTTTCGTTCCTGGTCTGCGGGGCGGTTTACTTGATCGGGTGCGTGTTAGCCGTGTGTTTGGGCTGTCCTGAGCCTTCTGTAAGTGCCCCTATGGATTGGAGCTGTTAATATTTTGTTTTTCAGAACTGCTTTCTCCAGGGGTTAAAAACAAGAATTTTAAATGCCACAGAACCTATAGGCTGTTTGCAGGTAAGTGACACGTGTGACCTGCTCCTTACTACAGCAGTGATAAGGTGTGTCCCCAGCCACTGGGGCTGCGATGCCGCCTCCTGGATTAGTCAGCCTGGAGGGCTTTGTAAGGCACTGAGTCGTTTGAGAGCGTTCCTCTCATCTGAAATTCAGTGCTTGGGATTGCACCAGTGTCACTGAGGCCCTGAGCTGAGCCAGCGTCCACACCCTCTCCCAGTGCGCGTTCTCTGGCCAGAGGCGGCCTTGCTGGTCACCTGAGGACAGGTCTGCGCTGTGGCCGCTGCTGTGGTGTCTGTACCCGGCCCGGTGAGGTGGGTGCAGCCCGAGCTGCTGCTCCTGCTCTCGTCACTGGTGCTGGCAGCGATGCTTACAGGGTGCCTGGACCTCACAGGTCCCTGGCTGCCAGACACCCCAGGGAGACATGGGCAGCCCTCGGGAGGGCACATGTGCCCCTGCCCGAGAGCCTGCCCAGCCTGCCCAGCTCCTGGCTTCTGCAGTGCCACGTCTTCCAAGTTTCTGCCTTTCTTCTGTCTTCCCTACTGTCCATCTTTCTCTCCTTTTGATTAATTTACTTGAAAGAGTTACACACGGTGAGATGGAGAGTCAGAGAGGGAGGTCTTTCTTCCATCCACTGGTTCACTTCCCAGATGGCCACAATGGCCGGAGCCGAACCAGTCTGAAGCCAGGAGCTTCTTCCAGGTCTCCCACATGGGTGCAGGGGCCCAAGGACCTGGGCCATCTTCCACAGCGTTCCCAGGCCACAGCAGAGAGCTGGATCGGAAGTGGAGCAGCCGGCACTTGAACTGACCCATCCCTCTTATAATCTTACTTTTGAATGCCCTTGAGTCTTGCTTTAAAAATTTATTTTTATTTATCTGATAGGCAGAGAGAGCGCGAGAGGGCTCTCTTCCTGGTTCATTCTCTAAATCCACTTGACAGCTGAGGCCAGGCTGAGGCTGACCGCAGGAGCTGGGGATCTGGGTCTCCCACGGCACCGGCAGGGCCCAGTGTCTTGAGCCATCACTGCTGCCCCTGTGCCTTAGCAGGAAGCTGGAGTCAGGAGCCAGAGGTGGTGTTGGCCCCAGGCCCTGCAGGGTGGGGCGCAGCGTTCACCACGGCCCCAGGTGCCTGCCCGAGACTTCCGTTGTTGCCGTTTGCGGCAGTGTTGGCTTTTCTGGCCATTTTTGTGGCATTTATTGAACTTGCGTACTAGAGCCCTTTTGTATATCAGCTCTTTATTCCTTAGAACTATCCTGAGAGGTGAGTGGTGCCATCCTCATCTTATGAAAAATAAACCAAAACTCTAGGAGTCACCAATCGGACCTGGAGGGCCAGGGGACGGCTTCCGGCTCCTGCATGCCCCAGGCCCTGTTAGCATGTGAGGAAATCGGGCCCCTGGCCTGCGGCTGAGGGCCGAGGGCCCTGGGCCACACTGGAAGGCGTGTCTTCTCTCTCCTCCCCAGCGGTTACTCTGTGACTGTCTCATGCCCACGCAGCTGGTCCCGTCTTTTCTCCCCTCGAGGCCTTGGCTGATGCTCAGGCTTGGCCACCAGCCAGGGTCCAGCCTGGCTTCCGGCAGTCTGGCATGGAGTCCTGGCAGGAGCTGGGCACTTCTTTGCCCTCTCTCTGCCTCAGCCCCCCTGGGGCCTGCGTGGAAGGTTGGTAGTCAGGGGTGGCCTTGGGAGTTCTTGTCTTGTGGGCAAGGGCCCAGTGTGAGCGCACCCTGTCTGCCAGTAAGGTCATTGCATGGTTAGAACTCTCTGTAAAATGCCAGAGGGGAGGTAAAGCTGTCACTTGCAGTGCCAGCATCCCATACGGGTGCCGGTTCAAGTCCCAGTTGCTCCACTTCTGATCCAGCTCTCTGCTATGGCCTGGGAAAGCAGTAGAAGATGACCCAAGTCCTTGGGCCCTGCACTCACATGGGAGACGCGGAAGAAGCTCCTGGCTCTGGATCGACGCAACTCCGGCCACTGTGGCCATCTGGGAAATGAACCAGCAGATGGAAGGCCCCTCCCTCCCTCCCTCCCTCCCTCTCTCTCTCTCTCTGCCTTTGAAATTAAGCCTTTCAAATAAATAAATATTTTAAAAAATGCCAATAAAGGAATACTTTCTTTTTTAAAGATTTATTTATTTGAAAGGCAGAGTTAGAGGCTGGCGCCGTGGTTCAATAGGCTAATCCTCCGCCTTGCGGCGCCGGCACCCCGGGTTCTAGTCCCGGTCGGGGCGCCGGATTCTGTCCCGGTTGCTCCTCTTCCAGGCCAGCTCTCTGCTGTGGCCCGGGAGTGCAGTGGAGGATGGCCCAAGTGCTTGGGCCCTGCACCCCATGGGAGACCAGGAGAAGTACCTGGTTCCTGCCATCGGATCAGCGCGGTGCGCCGGCCGCGGCGGCCATTGGAGGGTGAACCAACGGCAAAGGAAGACCTTTCTCTCTGTCTCTCTCTCTCACTGTCCACTCTGTCAAAAAAAATAAATAAATAAATAAATAAATAAAGGCAGAGTTAGAGATCTTCCATCTGTTAGTTTCATTCCCCAAATAGCCACAATGACCAGGACTGGACTGGACCAAAGCCAGGAGCCTGGGATTCCATCTGGGTCTCCCACGTGGGTGGCAGGGGCCCAAGCACCTGGGTCATCTTAACCTACTACACCGCAGCATCGTTCCTAAGAAGTGCTTTAAAAATGACTGTTTCTGGGACCAAGGAGATGGAGTACTCTTAATGTGTTTTGAGAACCTGAAGCCTCTCAGAAAACCTGGCTGTGCTCCCGCCAGGTGGCCTTTACAGCTGCAGGCCCTGTTCCTGCGCCGTCACCTGGCCTGCTGATTCAGCCGTGAGTGTGTGCGGACTGCAGTTCTCTCGTGAGGGTGTGTGCGGACTGCAGCCGTCGCACAAGAACTACCAGTGATTGAAACCCCTCTCGCATCCCGGGCAAGTCCTCAAGGTGGATCTGGGACCCGAGAGGGGTGCTGGTGTCGAGCTCGTCCCTGTGCTCTGTGGCGGCCCCCTGGGTCACTTCTGCTGACCTGGAGCTGACCCCATCCCACAGTCATCCTCACAGTCTGCTGTCCCCGGGCTGACTAGTCAGGTCTCTCAGGTCCCTTGTGACGTTCGCGTGCATGGGCCTGGCCAGACGGGAGCTGCCCAGCTGTGCAAGTGCTGTCGTCCGCCACGGGAGGCCCTGGCCAGAGTGGCCCTGGGGGCCTGTGCTCCCGCAGTCCCTGGAGTCCCTGCGAGGGCTCAGCTCAGTGTTGTGCTAGTGCTGGTGCTGGTGGGACAAGCTGCTGGGCCACACTGCCTTCCCCAGAACTCTCCCGCCGCCCTGTGTCATTGGGGCTGTGCCTCCCAGCACCTCCGGCAGCAGTTGTGTGTGCTTGAGGCCTTCGCTGGATCTTTTTGGCTGACTTAGAGAATTTTTTTTATTAAGGTAAAATAGCAAGTGTTTTTTTTTTTTTTCATTAAAACTTTGTTATAGAAAAATGGGTAATTTTTTAAAAGGAAAAAAGTAATTCCTAATACCATTGCTGCAGCGCCCCTGCTGGTGTGTGGGCGTGTGTGTGTGGAGGGGGTGTCCCCTGCCGTGGACGTGGGGCCACAGCACGCACAGGACCCAGCACCAGTCGTCCTCTGCTGTGAGAAAGTCATGGCAGAACAAAATTGACTTTTCCGTCTTCCTTCTTCTAGTGGATCTTTAAGTCTTCCCATCTTTTCTGATACAAATGCTGTTTGTATCGGCTCCGAGTCTTCGTCCCAGACTCCCACAGTCTCCAGGGGACAGCCTGGAAGTGGGGCTGGCACCGGGGGCTCAGCTGTGTGGTCCCCAGAGCTGGCGGGGACGTTGGAGTGTGTTCTGAATGGAGATCTCTTACCCCTACCTGAGCGCTCCACATCCCTCGTGACTGGGAGCTGTGGACGTGGTTACAGTGTAGACAGCCACATGTGGGAGGACCTGGGGTCCCGTGGGCGCCGTTGAGCAGTCTGTGTGCTCTCTTCCAGTGGTCTACCATCATGGCAACAGCGCGACGGGCGGTCATTACACCACCGATGTCTTCCAGATTGGGCTGAACGGCTGGCTGCGCATCGATGACCAGTCGGTCAGGGTGATTACCCAGTACCAGGTGGTGAAGCCAGCCGCCGAGCGCACGGCCTACCTCCTGTACTACCGCCGCGTGGACCTGCTGTAACCCTGCGTGTGCTGTGTGTGCCCAACGCCCGCTTTGTAGAACACCAGTTCTCACCAACTGCCTGCCTCTCTTTAGTGGCTCTTTAAAAGAAAAAACCTCGCTCCCTTTTGCAGAAATGGGCTGGGAAAAAGAGGAGACGCCTCGGGGTTTTGTGCAACATAGTTTATGTCGACTTCTAACTTCCAAATCAAAATCGTGTGGTGGAGACAGACTTGCCTGGTCCAGACACACACACACACACACACACACACACACACCTGACTTGTGAAGCAGTGCTGGTTCCTGCCATGAGAAGGGGGCTCGCTGTGCTCTCCAGTCCGTGCACCAGCAGCAACACTTGTAAATTTGTGAAAATGAATTTTATCTTTCCTTAAAAAATAAATTTTTTAATCCATCACACTTTCCCTCCTCACCCTTTAGTTTTTGATAAATGATAAAAATGAGCCAGCTATCAGAGAAGAAATAGTTCTCACTTCAGAAGATGAACAAACAGAAAAGCAGTTGCTGGCTCCTGACGGGAGAAGCACCTTTAACAGCTGGGCGACGAGAACCTGCTCCCGTAACACGCAGCCCGCACGCGTGGGGCCCGGTGTCGGTCTCCGTAGATGGGTGACTGTGACTTTATTGCCATTAACAGATTTCCAGTTGCGTTCTTCTGTGTACACGTGATGAACAGTGGGCAACGTAACGAGGCGGACGTCCTGGGTCTGCTGTGTTCACTCTGCTGTCTCCATAACGCTGCGTCCCTGCCTGTACACAGTTCAGTGATATCTGCCAGTATGAAGTTGTCGCCCATCAATAAAAAATCACAACGGTGGTTTCAAGTCGCTGTGTTTCTGTGACTGCAGGTGCCCTTCCCTGTGGCGGGTCCAGGGGACTGGACTTGGCCTGCAGAGGGAGAGTGCCGATGGCCTTGGTGTGTGTGTGCTGTGCGGAGCGGGGCCAGCTGAGGCTCTGAGTCTTCAGTTATGGGCTAGGGGCGGTCTCTCCCATTTCCTGCCTTCCCACCTCACGTGTCCTAGCGGACTGGGCATCCTTTCAGTTGCTGCCACGAGGGCGGTGTAGTCCCCTCAAGTGGCCGTGAGGCGGCCTTCCCAGTCGTGTGCTGGAATTGACGGGAACTGGTCTGAGTGTGGTTGGGCCACCTTCCCACGCTCCTCCCTAGCATCTGGTGTTGCCACTCTGAGGCTCCAAGGTACCTGCTTGCAGTCTGGGTGCTGAGGCCACCCCTCAGCCTCCTCGGCCTGCTGCGGCCCGGTTCTGCTCGGCTCACAAACGTCGTGCGCAGTGCTGTAGAGCGTGTGGAGTCAGGACAGCACACTGGCTCTGGGGGAAGCCGCCCACCCCAGCCGTGACCCAGCCCGAGGTGAGACGAACCCACCGTGACCCTGTAGCCAGACCATGCGCCTGCAGGACTTGACGGCTTGTCTTCTGCCACGGCATGGAGCGAGAGCAGGGCCCTCTGGTCTGGTCTGGTCTGGTCTGGGAGTGCCTATTCCCAGGCAGCTGGACGGAGGGGCTGGACAGGGCATGGGTTCCGGGGTACGCAGTCTGCTTCCACGTGGGGAACATGTTGTGTATTTAGCGGGAAAACCCCCGGCTGTCTCCAGTGGCGAAGGTGTGTATTTTGTCAGGCCTCTGGGATGTTGGAGATGCTGAGAAAGTGCCTTGGAAAGACCCTGGGACGCGGGGGTGCCTTGCCCGGCCTGTGGGCTGTGGTGCTGCTGCACCCCAGGCCGCTGCCCTGGGGAAGTATGGCTGGGCTGCCTCCTCCCGCCCCCTGCTGGTCAGCTGAGGATCCTCCTGCCTCGCATGTGGCCGGGGTGGTAGAAAGGTGGAAGTTTGCACTGGCAAGACTGCGTGGAGAGTCCGTGTCTGTGCCAGCATGGCAGGAAGCCCAGGCCAGGTGGCTGAGGCAGCCGTGTTTCTTGCTCAGAGTTAGCGAGGCTGCAGGAGCAGGGCCATGGAGCAAGCAGAGCTGGCGTCCCACGAGGGCCCACTCCTGGCTCACGGACAGCTGCCGCCTCCCTGCACTCCTCACGCTGCAGGGCTCACCTCTGGGCCCGCGGTGAGGGCTGCACCCTCCTGACCTCATCAAGTCTAAGGACTCCCCAGGGCCTCACCTGACAGCACCCCCTGCGGATTCGGGGAATCTGAGGACGCCGTGCCACCCGGCTCTGGACACCGCGTCTGGGCCAGACACGGCTCCTCGGCTCTGTTTTGCTGAAGCAGAACTGCACACCAGCAGCTGTGGACGGGAGGGGACACCGGGAAGGGACAGGAAACACGGGGGGGGGGGGGAATGCCAGCTGGAAAGTGAGCATGTGACGCTTGAAGTGAATGGCCAGGGGTAGAGAAGGTGGTAACCCAGCAAATCCAGGTATTCCCCAGGGCCCCCCGTTTCCGACCGCCCACGTTCTCGAGGTTCCGCACCCGACGTCGGTGTCTTGTGCTCCCTCAGTCTGTTAAGAGTGACGCTGACAGCCGAGCGGTTCCATGGCTCCAGGCCTGCCTTTCCTGTGTAACTGCAAGGCTTGGGTGTCGACATCCGGGCGGGCAGGACAGGATGCAGTGCCGCTTGTCTGACGTCAGAGTGAGCAAGTGGCTGGCTTTGCTTTCTCAGTGTGACGGTCGTCACAGGAACCCTGTGGAACCATCCTCCTCTGGGGCACGTGTAGTTACTGCTGCCTCAGGCCAGCTGAGTACTCACAGCCAGTGGCTTTTGGGGTGTTTGAATTCACTGATTAAACTGGTGGGTTTGGTACTGTATAGCCACCAACTAGTGTGTGCCAGCCCGTGACCGATTCCTGCGCTGTGCCAGCACGGCTGGTGAGCCGGGTCCCACTTCCCTCTGCGAGTGCTCAGTCTGTGGGCAAAACAGCAGACACGAGACCTGAGACGCCCTGTTCCCAGCTTGAGAGAAAAGACCTTGTCCATGGCTGCTGAGGCCAGCGTCCTCCGTGCACGTTGCAGAGTTGGTGGACTTAGCACACACGCGGCCCGGTGCTGGTGCCGCAGAAGGACCCAGCAGTTCACCAGGCTTCTGTTGAAGTGTCCGTTTATCGCCCTTCACTTGCTTGGAAAAAGTCCCTGGCCTGCTCGCAGCTGCTGACCCGGCCGTGAGGCGGTTCAGGGGTGAACACCCACCAGGCACGGCCTTGCCCTCTGCTCCTCCCGACCGCTCCACAGCGGTGCTCCGTGCTTGCATTAGTGGGTGCGGGTTTCTTGGAAGCCCACACTTTGCAAATTGGCTCTTCAGTTGTGCCTGTGTTTTGCTCCTCACACTCGGAGCTTTGTCTCGCTGTGCGCTGCGGCCATCACAGGGGTCACTTGCCTGCACAGTAGCAGTTTGTCAGCTGTGCCGTCCTCGGCAGCAGCCAGGGCAAGCCGGAGTTTGAGTCACTGTTTGCGCTGAAGGAAACTGGCGCTATCTTGGCTGCTCTGGCATTTACGTTACAGGGTTCTTTGGGCTCAAGTTCCACGCCGAGCGCTTGTGTTCAGGTTGTTCCAGTTCCCTGTAGACTCCACTGAAGGGCTTGCTGGGTCTTACGGGGCCTACTCAGGGGCTTCCTTTACCGCTTCTCTCTCACACCAGCACCGCTGAGCCTGTGTGTGTGTGAAGCCCTGTCCCGTGCACACTTCCCAAGGAACGTGTGGGTGCCCTCGGCGTGTCTGGGGACTCGGTGACAGGCGACCAGCAGTTCTGTGTCTGCAGACTCTTACCCTGCGTGCCGCGTGTTCAGGTTGGCGGTGCTGTGCCAGCTGCAGTTGCCCCACCGTCCCCCTGTGCTCAGGAGGAGGCTGGTTCTGCTCAGCTCTCCAGAACTCACACCTCCGACATCCACACGCGAGGCCAGAGAGGCTGTCTTGAGTGACATGCAAGGTTTTTTAAAGGCAGAGTGACAGAAATGGAGAGACAGACTTCCACCCACTGGTTCACCCCCAGATGGCTGAAACAGCTGAGATCCAGGTCTCCCACGTGAGTTCAGGATTTCCAGGGCCCAAGCACTCAGGCCGTCTGCTGCCTTGCCTTCCCAGGTGCATTAGCAGGGAGCTAGGACGGAAGTAGAGCAGCTGGGCCTCAAGCCGAGGCTCCAGGTTTCCTTATTTATTCGTTTGGAAGGCAGACAGGTCTCTCACCCACTACTTCACTTCCCAGATCCCACAACAGGAGCCGGGGCTGGGCCAGACGGCACTAGGAGCAGAACTCCATCAGGTCTCGCGTGGGTGGCCGGGGGCCAGGTACACTCGGGCCGTCTTCCATAGCTTTCGGAGGTGCATTAGCGGCTAGCCAGATCGGAAGCAAAGTATCCAGAATACAAACTAGCGCTCTAGTGTGGTGTCGCTCCCCCATTTGTGGAGGAGCAACACAGGACCCTGTGCTGTTCTTTCGTCTGCTCGGCCCTCCCCGGGTTTGCTGCTGGTTCTTCCCGGGTTGGCTGCTGGTTCTTCCCGGGTTGGCTATCGACCCTTCCACCTCCGTGGAAGGGCGGTTCCCCCTGCCACTTTCCCCACTTCCGCGGGGGAGCGGCACACCGCCGGCCGGCTCTCTCGGGGGCTGCTCAGATGTTATCCGGATGTTCCCCCTTAGATGTTCCTAGTGCATGTTGTCTCTCTCCTCCTTTATAGTCCTCTTCCACCAATCCCAACTCTGCTACCCACACGCCGAGCACACTGCTCTCCTCCAATCAGGAGCAGGATCAGCTCCTGCAGCTCATCAAATTGGCGAGAGGCAGCTGCGTAGAAGCTGTTTCCTCCTCTCCCAGCGCCATATTGTGGGAGAGCAGATGCATAGAATAAGTCCTAATTCCAGTAACTTAGTCTAGTCCGAGTTGCTCCCCACAGTGTGGGGCACGGGCACCACCGGCAGCGGCTTCACCAGCTGCACCACAGTGCCGGCCCTAAAATGCGTCACATTTCGAAAAAGTCTATTTTCATCTACTCAGCAGAGCAATGGAAAGAAGAGACTCTCCATCCCTCGGTTCACCCCAACAGCCACGATAGTCAGAGCTGGGTGAGGCGAGCCAGGAGCGCCCACGTCGCGTGGCAGAAGCCCAAATACTTAAGGCGGCGTCTGCCTCACAGGACGCCCGAGCAGGAAGCAGGATCAGAAGTGAAGCAGCCAGCACTCCAGCCAGCACTCCAGCATGGCGTGCAGGCATCCCGACTTGCGGCAGGTCTGTGCTACGAGACCTGCCCCAAACTTTGCCCTCGTTTTGAACAGATGTAAGTTAGCTGTGCAGTGGGCAAAATTCACTTGTGGCTTCAGGTTGTTGCACTGGGTGGATGGGTAGGGGTATGCACACCTCCCAGTGCAACACCAGGCCCCATGCAGCCCAGCCTGCGAGGCTGTGAGGTCTGATCCGAGCCCCTCCCTGGGTCCTGTACCCTGAGCCACAGTGACTCCCCAGCCTCCAGCAGTGCCTTTGGCCTTCTCTGGTGACTACAAATCAGCCACTGCATAGACTGGCTCCCTGAGGTGACGAAGGGTGCGTTAGGGCCCAAACCACACGACTCCTGAGGCCGTGCGTCTTCTACGCAGAGAGCAGAGAAGGCCCAGCCTTCATACGGGCCAGCTCAAGGCTCTCCCCCACAGGAACCCCAGGCCCTGAGTAAGCAGCGTGGCGGCCACTTGCACATAGCTTCCAGACTGCCTGCAGCCCGTTCTGCCACCTCCAAAATCCCAGAACACAGTGGCTGGCCTGTCAGTGACGAAAGGGGAAGCAGAGCCCCCGACCGGCAGAGACTGCATGAGCCGACCACACCCTCGGCATGAAGCAGACCACCGACCACACCCTCGGCATGAAGCAGACCACCGGAGGCT